GAAGTTTACATACACTTAGGTTGGAGTCATTAAAACTCGTTTTTCAACCACTCCACAAATTTCTTGTTAACAAACTATAGTTTTGGCAAGTGGGCAGAACTGAAACAGTGTGTGCGAGCAAGGAGGCCTACAAACCTGATTCAGTTACACCAGCTCTGTCAGGAGGAATGGGCCAAAATTCACCCAATTTATTGTGGGAAGCTTGTGGAAGGCTAACCGAAATGTTTGACCCAAGTGAAACAATTTAAAGGCAATGCTACCAAATACTAATTGAGTGTATGTAAACTTCTGACCCACTGGGAATGTGATGAAAGAAATAAAAGCTTAAATAAATAATTCTCTACTATTATTCGGACATTTCAGATTCTTAAAATGAAGTGGTGATCCTAACTGACCTAAAACAGGGAATTTTTACTAGGATTAAATGTCAGGAATTGTGAAAAACTGAGTTTAAATGTTTTTGGCTAAGGTGTATGTAAACTTCCGACTTCAACTGTAGGTAAACACTAATTATCTCTAAAAATAGCTCTTCTCTCCCTGACCATCATAATCTTAAAATGATGCTCTCTAACCTTCAACAGTACGTTATTTAATGAAATATGTTACCTAATAATTTTGTAGACATTAGTTCAGTGGCAGTGGTGTAAAGTACTTAAGTAAAAATACTTTAAAGTACTACTTAAGTAGTTTTTTGGGGTATCTGTACATTACTTTACTATTTATATTTTTGCCCACTTTTACTTCACTACATTCCTAAAGAATATAATGTACTTTTTACTCCATACATTTTCCCTGACACCCAAAAGTACTTGTTACATTTTGACAGGAAAATTGTCAAATTCACACACTTATCGAGAGAACATCACTGGTCATCCCTACTGTCTCTGATCTGGCTGACTCACTAAACACAAATGCTTTGTTTGTAAATTATGTCTGAGTGCTGGAGTGTGCCCCTGGCTATCCATCAATAATAATTTAAAAAAATGGTGCCATCTGGTTTGCTTAATATAAGGAAGTTTAAATTATTTATACATTGTAATTTTTTTAATTGTTTTAATGTAATATATTTTGGAAACGGCTACAAAACAGCAATTTGGACAGCTTTTTGGGCATATTTTGGCATACCACTATTCTGGTAATATTTTGCTGAATACATACAGTGGGGAGAACAAGTATTTGATACACTGCCGATTTTGCAGGTTTTCCTACTTACAAAGCATGTAGAGGTGAGATCTTGCATGGAGCCCCAGACCGAGGGTGATTGACCGTCATCTTGAACTTCTTTCATTTGCGCCAACAGTTGTTACCTTCTCACCAAGCTGCTTACCTATTGTCCTGTAGCCCATTCCAGCCTTGTGCAGGTCTACAATTTTATCCCTGATGTCCTTACACAGCTCTCTGGTCTTGGCCATTGTGGAGAGGTTGGAGTTTGTTTCCTTGAGTGTGTGGACAGGTGTCTTTTATACAGGTCACGAGTTCAAACAGGTGCAGTTAATACAGATAATGAGTGGAGAACAGGAGGGCTTCTTAAAGAAAAACAAACAGGTCTGTGAGAGCCGGAATTCTTACTGGTTGGTAGGTGATCAAATAGTTATGTCATGCAATAAAATGCAAATAAATTACTTAAAAATCATACAATGTGATTTTCTGGATTTTTGTTTTAGATTCCATTCCGTCTCTCACAGTTGAAGTGTACCTATGATAAAAATTACAGACCTCTACATGCTTTGTAAGTAGGAAAACCTGCAAAATCGGCAGTGTATCAAATACTTGTTCTCCCCACTGTATAACTGACATACTTGGGCCATCATTTTTGGTTGTCCTCATTGTAACACACATTCTAAGACATTATTGGTCTTATTACACCAATTATTTATTCAGTTATGGCCATGCAAAATTAATGCTGTTCCTCCCCATTGAAATTGTTGGCCATCTTGAAAATAGGCTGCTGGGACTGATTATAGACTAAATCTATACTGTAGCTAAAAACTTCCCCAATAGGTCTCCTTGTTCTGTTTGAAATGTGGTGCAGTTATCATCCAGGGTACCATGTGATAATAAAGCACATCCCAATACTGTCCATTCTGTCTCAGTATACCCCAAAATGCATACATGTATGACCTTTGACCCCCCCAAGGTGAGCCCATAGAGATAACATTACCATTCCAATTGTTTCATACCTTAATGTGTTGTATTATGAAGTTAATAACATATAACATATTGTTCCCTGATAATACAACATTATCATGCCCTCAATCCTGTTGGCCCAGCTATCTGCATAGGGGTCATAACATATGTAATGAGGAATATTTAAGATTTAATAAAGTTCATATTCAGTTAAGAGTAATTAACACAATGCTTAGCATATGTATACGTTTTCCCGGCCTTTGTCATTCACATGATTTCAAGTGTCTATTTGTGACACTCATTTGTGTCACGGGTTGATGGTTACTAGACTCAGTGCTGTATGTTATGTATTAAACTCATATCTGTTGATAGTAATTGACACCAGACGGGATGTACAAGGACCGAGGACACTGATATGTTATTGTATTGATGACCTTATGAACACTGTGTGACTCTGCAGCAGCTGGCAAAGTATTTTGTTGTGACTCCGTACAAGCCTCCCAGGCTGATGTTAATGGCACATTGGTGCTGTGAGATTGGAATATAAGGCCCTGCTTAGGGAAGGGCAGTTAGACATTTTCTCTGCTTCTGTGCTGGAGGTGTGTCCCTGTCTCACTTGTAACAAACCAGATTGATTTATGATTGACTATATCTGCGAGTGCTCATCTCGTTTATTCACATTTTTACAGTGCAAAATATCACAATTACATAAGTATTCAGACCCTTTACTCAGTACTTTGTTGAAACCCCTTTGGCAGCGATTACAGCCTCGTCTTCTTGGGTATGACGCTACAAGCTTGGCACACCTGTATTTGGGGAGTTTCTCCCATTCTTCTCTGCAGATCCTCTCAAGCTCTGTCAGGTTGGATGGGGAGCATCGCTGCACAGCGATTTTCAGGTCTCTCCAGAGATGTTCCATCGGGTTCAAGTCCGGGCTCTGGCTGGGCCACTCAAGGACATTCAGAGACTTGTCCCGAAGCCACTCCTGCGTTGTCTTGGCTGTGTGTTTATGGTCATTGTCCTGTTGGAAGGTGAACCTTCGCCCCAGTCTGAGGTCCTGAGCGCTCTGGAGCAGGTTTTCATCAAGAATTTCTCTGTACTTTGCTCCGTTCATCTTTCCCTCGATCCTGACTAGTCTCCCAGTCCCTGCCGCTGAAAAACATCCCCACAGCATGATGCTGCCATCACCATGCTTCACCATAGGGATGGTGCAAGGTTTCCTCCAGACGTGACGCTTGGCATTCAGGCCAAAGAGTTCAATCTTGGTTTCATCAGACCAGAGAATCTTGTTTCTCATGGTCTGAGAGTCCTTTAGGTGCCTTTTGGTAAACTCCAACTGGTCTGTCATGTGCTTTTTACTGAAGAGTGGCTTCCGTCTGGCCACTCTACCATAAAGGCCTGATTGGTGGAGTGCTGCAGAGATGGTTGACCTTCTGGAAGTTTCTCTCATCTCCACAGAGGAACTCTGGAGCTCTGTCAGAGTGACCATCGGGTTCTTGGTCACCTCCCTGACCAAGGGCCTTCTCCCCCGATTGCTCAGTTTGGCCGGGCGGCCAGCTCTAGGAAGAGTCTTGGTGGTTCCAAACTTCTTCCATTTTAGACTGATGGACGCCACTATGTTCTTGGGGACCTTCAATGCTGCAGACATTTTTGGTGCCCTTCCCCAGATCTGTGCCTCGACACAATCCTGTCTCTGAGCTCTACGGACAATTCCTTCGATCTCATGGCTTGGTTTTTTCTCTGACATGCACTGTCAACTGTGGGACCTTATATAGACAGGTGTGTGCCTTTCCAAATCATGTCCAATCAATTGAATTGACCACAGGTGGACTCCAATCAAGTTGTAGAAACATCTCAAGGATGATCAATGGAAACAGGATGCACCTGAGCTCAATTTCGAGTCTCATAGCAAAGGCTCTGAATACTTATGTAAACATTTCTAAAAACCTGTTTTGGCTTTGTCATTATGGGATATTGTGTGTAGATTGATGAGGAAAAAAATTAATTGTATCCATTTTAGAATAAGGCTGTAACGTAACAAAATGTGGAAAAGGTGAAGGGGTCTGAATACTTTCCGAATGCACTGTATAATGCAGTGATAACCACATTTAGCTACCTCCGATACATGGCTATCATACCTAAATATAACCCACAGACATGGACCTTAATGAAAATCATCATTAGACTTTGCCACCCCAAAGTGGACAAATACACTGAACAAAAATATAAACACAACATGTAAAGTGTTGGTCCCATGTTTCATGAGCTGAAATAAAAGATCCCAGAAATGTTCCATTCACACAAAAAGCTTATTTCTCTCAAATGTTGTGCACAAATTTATTTAAATCCCTGTTAGTGAACATTTCTCTTTTGTCAAGGAAATCTATCCACCTGACAGGTGTGGCATATCAAGAATCTGATTAAACAGCATGATCATTACAAAGGTGCACCTTGTGCTGGGGACAAAGGCCACTCTAAAATGTGCGGTTTTGTCACATAAAACAAGTTTTGAGGGAGCGTGCAATTGGCATGTTGACTGCTGGAATGTCCCTCAGAGCTGTTGCCAGAGAATTGAATGTTAATTTCTCTACCATAAGCCCAATGTCGTTTTAGAGAATTTGTCAGTATGTCCAACCGGCCTCACAACCTCAGACCACATGTATGGCGTCGTGTGGGCGAGCGGTTTGCTGATGTCAACGTTGTGAACAGATTGCCCCATGGTAGTGGTGGGTTTATGGTATGGGCAGGCATAAGCTACGGACAATGGACACAATTGCATTTTATTGATGGCAATATGAACTGTAACTTGTTGCATGTTGTGTTTTATATTTTAGTTCAATATATGTTACATTTGTCCTGCCGGCCCATGGACAATGTGTGTGTTTCAGTCCGTGTTTATTTTGTTAAACCACCAGGAGGTAAAGGCTTTGTTTGCATGTGAGAGCCTCCCCAGGATCCAGAGCTGTGAGTTTGCCCAGAACGACAACTGGTTCATCACCTTCCACACTGAGGCTGACGCTCAACAGGTACAGCTGGGAGAGACAGAGACTGTGGTTACGGAGGTTAACAACAGCTGGGAGAGGGATTGATTCTCTAGACATTCATACACATTTCATTCAGCTGCACATTTAATTCACGTGTGTGTGTGTGTGTGTGTGTGTGTGTGTGTGTGTGTGTGTGTGTGCGCTCCAGGCATTTCAGTACCTGAGAGAGGAGGTGAGGACGTTCCAGGGGAAACCCATCAAGGTGAGTTGAGACTAAAGAAAATATTTTTCTATGCATGCTGCAAGTGCCAATCACATGATAAAAGATTGATTGATTGCTTTGTTGATTAATAAATTGATCAGGCACGGATCAAGGCCAATGTGATGGCAGTCACATCATACGCTCCAAAGAATGGCTACAGGCCCCGGCCAATGGACCCCTGCACCAATCAGCAGCCTTACAGCCCGTACTACGTCCCTCCCACTTTCCAGCAGCCCCTCCCACAGCACTACACAATGACCAATCAAAGCTTGGCTGCCGTGGCCGGATACACTGACCCTGACCTGGTGAGATGGACACACACATACACACACACACACATACACACACATATGCATGTACAAGCATTTTCTCTCACACTGGTGTCATTGGTGCTCTGTACAGCAGATGGCGTCATTCTCTGGCTTCATGAACGGCTTCCCAGGAAGCCCCAGCTTCAAACTATCCCCCTCACACAAACACAGGTACTACACTCCTCACTCTCTTTGTCATTCTGGAGAGACGTCTCTCTCCTTCTCCCAAGCTATCAATCTCTCTATTTCTTTCTCTTTGTCTCTCTCTCCCTTTCTGTGATTTGCTTGACGATGTAACCATGGTTCTAGTTACGTTGTTGTGATGTTACATGTGTTTCTCTCTCTCCTCCAGTAGGGGGCACCGTGGGCAGCGGGACCAGAGGCGGCGTTCTGGCGACAGGGAGCCGGGCCTTCTGGATGACCCCCCCTTCTTCCCGGAGCGTGTACCAATAGGACGCCTCCCTGGCCCCCCCAGGCAGGGCCGGCCACGGTTATCAGGCAACAGGCGTAGGGATGGAGAAGGGGGTCGACGTGGAGGGAGAGGGGAGTCAGGGTCCTCCCCCAACACTGGCATAGGAAGGTAATGACCTCTAACCTCCAGCCCTTAGAGACGGGACTCTTCCTGATCACTCATGTTCAGTAGAGACTAAACAGAAGATTAAATGTTTTTGAGGTACCACCTGAACTGAAGGAAGATAATAGCTGTTTTCATTAACTTGTCCAATGATTTTTTGTCTACATTTAGAACATTTGCATAGATGCTACAATTGCATGCTACAGTGCGTTTCCATTAAACTATCTTGTGTCAATAAAATCAGCTGGCTGTAATAATTTCACACCTAAAAGAACCCATTTTCACAAAAACCTACAGTGTCGAATAAAAATTAATTGGTTGAAGTTTTCCCATTTCCTATTTAGGCAAATTGCGCATAAGGCCTAATAAATTAGTGACAGCCTGTAGCTTATGCCCTCCCACCTATCTGTTTTATGTCTCAGGTAGCCCACAAAAGCCAGCATGGATAGAATGCAATAATTGACTAATATTTGCCATATTGTAATAATTGTCATGTGCCAACGTATCGCCACGGCCCGTGCCATGCTGAAACTTGCACTCTTGTAGATCTGAAATAATTGGATGGTGAAACTTGCCTGCCAACCAGAACACCAAGGCGAAGCAATTCAGGCATTCTTGAAAGTCAGGACAAAAATAGATTTAGCAAGCAGTGGGCATTACAATTAATTGTGGAGTGGAGCTTTATAGTTTTGTGCACGGCCGGCCCGCTCATTAGGCAGGATTAGGCCTATGGCGGCAGATTGATTAGGGCGCCATTTTCTGAGCTAAACGGACCAAGACGCACCACCAACAACAACACATAAAACCTCACATTTCTCTCAACCAGTGGTATATGGGCTTTTTAGGTGCACGCTAATGCCACCCTGTGATAAGCAGTGCCCACTTTGTAAAAGGCAGGGGCGCAAAATATTTTGCTTGTCCATTCACAGCGCACCTCTCCAGGGTGCTGTTGGAGAGACTAATCACTGCGGCGCTCCACCAACGTTCCGTCCAAAAAATGATCTAACATAAATCATGTAGCAGATATAGGATTTGGTAGAAACAGTATGTGGCCTTTTCTGTAGCCTACAGGCTGGAGATAAAATGTATGACAATGCAATGAGACAGACACTTTACATCATGTAGGTTTCTCCGATCAAATAGCCTAACCTAAATGGCGCTCATTCAAATAAAAAATGTGCTGTCATGTTAACAAACGACATATCCTAAAAACAGGACAGGTCAAAGTAAAATGGACAATATGGAATGGACAACTACAACTGTTGTCTAGGAGTTTCACCCCATTGTCATGATCAGTGGTTTCAAGTTTGTATCCGTACATTTTTTTTACAAGCTGATCGTAGCGAAAAAAACAAAATAGTTCTGCTTTTCCAGCTTTGTAAACACATTGTAAAATAGGCTCACGATAACTCCTGATAAAGTTGGGTAGCTGATATTCAGAGCGTAAATAGGCCAATTGAATAGTCACAGGAATCAGGACTAATAATGCCAATGCTACAGCCAGTTTTTCAAACGATGGGCCTACCACATGGATGGGCATTCATACAATTCCATTGCTGGCCACATAGTAGGATACACTCCAGTAAGCACGAGCCAACTTATTTTTTGTGTGTTTTACAAACTGTAGGCTTACCACATAGAAGGCGAGGTCAGTACAGGTGCATCTGAAAAACAGCTTCTATCTCAAGGCCATCAGACTGTTAAACAGCCACCACTAGCACAGAGGCGCTGCTGCCTACATACAGACTTGAAAATCACTGGCCACTTTAATAAATGGAACACTAGTCACTTTAATAATGTTTACATATCTTGCATTACCTATCTCATATGTACAGTGGGGGAAAAAAGTATTTAGTCAGCCACCAATTGTGCAAGTTCTCCCACTTAAAAATATGAGAGAGGCCTGTAATTTTCATCATAGGTACACGTCAACTATGACAGACAAATTGAGGGAAAAAAATCCAGAAAATCACATTGTAGGATTTTTTATGAATTTATTTGCAAATTATGGTGGAAAATAAGTATTTGGTCACCTACAAACAAGCAAGATTTCTGGCTCTCAAAGACCTGTAACTTCTTCTTTAAGAGGCTCCTCTGTCCTCCACTCGTTACCTGTATTAATGGCACCTGTTTGAACTTGTTATCAGTATAAAAGACACCTGTCCACAACCTCAAACAGTCACACTCCAAACTCCACTATGGCCAAGACCAAAGAGCTGTCAAAGGACACCAGAAACAAAATTGTAGACCTGCACCAGGCTGGGAAGACTGAATCTGCAATAGGTAAGCAGCTTGGTTTGAAGAAATCAACTGTGGGAGCAATTATTAGGAAATGGAAGACATACAAGACCACTGATAATCTCCCTCGATCTGGGGCTCCACGCAAGATCTCACCCCGTGGGGTCAAAATGATCACAAGAACGGTGAGCAAAAATCCCAGAACCACACGGGGGGACCTAGTGAATGACCTGCAGAGAGCTGGGACCAAAGTAACAAAGCCTACCATCAGTAACACACTACGCCGCCAGGGACTCAAATCCTGCAGTGCCAGACGTGTCCCCCTGCTTAAGCCAGTACATGTCCAGGCCCGTCTGAAGTTTGCTAGAGTGCATTTGGATGATCCAGAAGAGGATTGGGAGAATGTCATATGGTCAGATGAAACCAAAATAGAACTTTTTGGTAAAAACTCAACTCGTCGTGTTTGGAGGACAAAGAATGCTGAGTTGCATCCAAAGAACACCATACCTACTGTGAAGCATGGGGGTGGAAACATCATGCTTTGGGGCTGTTTTTCTGCAAAGGGACCAGGACGACTGATCCGTGTAAAGGAAAGAATGAATGGGGCCATGTATCGTGAGATTTTGAGTGAAAACCTCCTTCCATCAGCAAGGGCATTGAAGATGAAACGTGGCTGGGTCTTTCAGCATGACAATGATCCCAAACACACCGCCCGGGCAACGAATGAGTGGCTTCGTAAGAAGCATTTCAAGGGCCTGGAGTGGCCTAGCCAGTCTCCAGATCTCAACCCCATAGAAAATCTTTGGAGGGAGTTGAAAGTCCGTGTTGCCCAGCGACAGCCCCAAAACATCACTGCTCTAGAGGAGATCTGCATGGAGGAATGGCCCAAAATACCAGCAACAGTGTGTGAAAACCTTGTGAAGACTTACAGAAAACGTTTGACCTGTGTCATTGCCAACAAAGGGTATATAACAAAGTATTGAGAAACTTTTGTTATTGACCAAATACTTATTTTCCACCATAATTTGCAAATAAATTCATTAAAAATCCTACAATGTGATATTCTGGATTTTTTTTCTCATTTTGTCTGTCATAGTTGATGTGTACCTATGATAAAAATTACAGGCCTCTCTCATCTTTTTAAGTGGGAGAACTTGCACAATTGGTGGCTGACTAAATACTTTTTCCCCCCACTGTATATACTGAATTCTATACTATCTATTGCATCTTAGCCTATGCCACTCTGACAATGACATTGCTCATCCATATATTTATATATTCTTATTCCATTCCTTTACTTAGATTTGTGTGTATTAGATATTTGTTGTGAAACTGTTAGATATTACTTGCTAGATATTACTGCACTGTCGGAACTAGAAGCGTAAGCATTTCGCTACACTCGCAATAGCATCTGCTAACCATGTGTAGGTGACCAATACATTTGATTTGATAGATGGGCATTCATAAAATTCAATTTCAGGCAACACTGTAGGCTACACCTCAGTAAGCACGGACTGACACCTGTGCCTTTTTGATGTCTTTTTTTGGTGCAGTCCGGACCGGCCTTGATTTCCACATCCACGGACATTGGTTTTTGGTCCGGTCCGGACATTGGTTTTTGGTCTCGGCAAGGATCGGCCCTGGTTACGCGATGACATTCCTGGCTCTTCATACCTTCAAAATTATTCTGCAATCATAATTATTTGAAAAACATAATTTGAGTCATCAATTGTTGCAATAAAGCTTGACAAATGAAGAAATCCATGCCTGTCGAATGGATACAAATTTCGACGATCTTAGAAAAGTTATCCTATATCTGTTGTTTCCATTACACATGCCGCAGTGATTGTTTGGTAGACATTACTTTTGTAGAATAAACCTGGGTCAATGGGGAAACCTGCCTATTGATTATATCTCTCTCTCTCTGAAGGAGAGGTCCCATTGGTCAGAGGAGGAGAAGAGATGAGAAGTACATTGTAAGTACCTAACATGTGGATGGTTTTGGGAACATTTCAAGGAAAAGCTCTTACTTTTGAGTGTTGTTTTTGTGTGGCTGTGGATATGTATGTCTGTGTATAACAACAGGTGTATATAAACTTGTGTGTGTTTAGAGAGGGCCCCCCCAGTCGCCCCCCCGCTCCTTGTCTCCCAGTCTGGAGCTCGGCCCCACTAGCTTCCCCCCACTGCCTCCGGCAACAGCCTCCAGAGAAATACTTACCATAGCAACCAGCAATCACAAAGCAACCTGCAACCACAAGGTAACCAAGAGTCACACACACATACACACTCACACACGCCCTCTACTGTCTTGTAAGGTTGTTTTTCTTGTTCCAGAGTGCACTTACAGACAGCAGTACCAGCCAACCAACCACTGTGACATTACAAGAGCTCCAGCCTATCACAGCATTGCCTCAGAAAACCCTCCCCCTAGAGTGAGTATATTCTCCTTCCTTTGAATCATCATTGCTGTGGACTGGGTCCCTTTCACAATGTGTTTTGTATGATTACTTCAAGGAAGAAGGATACAAGCAGACTCATGTCTGTGTTATGATATGTTATGGTTGTGTTGTGTTATGGTTGTTGTTGATGGTGGCTGTTGCTGGACCACAGGAAGCTGAAGGAAACCGTAGCATCTCCCAAGAGGACCACAGCAGCTCCTCCGACCATGAAAGAATCGCTCCAGACCATGAAGGAAAACGGACCAGCACTGGTGAGACAGCTCACGGACTACAGAGACAAACTGGTTATTAGTGAAAGTAGTGTATGCTGGGTACTGACCTGTTCTGTGTTGTGATTGGTTAGGAGTCCAAGAAGCCGAGCTACGCTGAGATCTGCCAAAGGATACGAGCCAATCAAACGCTTTGCGCAAACCCCATTGACCACACCCCTTCCGGGGCGGAGCTTGCCCCAGCCTATCCTGCACAGGAGTCTGACACGGCCCAGTTACCACGGTGACCAGAGTGATATGGTTACCTTGGGTTGGGGAGGGCAAGAGGGGGGAGAAGGAGAGAAGAGGAAGACGTTTTTCAAGCAACAAAAAAAAAACTATAGCCCTTTAATGTTGAGGTTTTGATTTATTTTATTTATAAAGTTTAGTTAGTTTTAGAAGCCAAGTTGTAGCACTCTTGTTTCTCTCTGCTGTCTGTCTGTTTGTCTGTCTTGTGTCTGTCTATCTGACTGACGGAACTCTCTGAATTCTTTACGTTTTGATATTGATTTATTTATTTTGATTAATATTGATTAGTATTTAGAGCATCAGACATCATACTGCTGTATTAATTCCTAAATCGAAATAACTACACTGGAACAGTTACAGTAAGTACAAACAGCCAGACACTGGAGTGCCAAGAAGCTAAAGCACTGATATCATCATAATAAATAATTATTATTATCATATCAACATTTGTTTCTGCATGAGTTTTAGATGTATTTATTTACTGTTTTATTTAGATGGAATGTCTTGTGTGTTGATTGGTTTGTGTTGTTTTGAGTTTGGGGGGTGGGTGTCTATTAAATAAATAATTTAGAAGAGAAACATCTGAGGTTGATATTGAGTGTACATACAACACTGTTAGAGTTAACAACTTGAATTTGATTTGGAATCAGGGGTAGCTGGAGGGAGAGGGTGGGGGGTTGTAGATAAAGCTTTCAGTTCGCTTTTCCTGTGTTTGAGATAGAATATTAAGTGTGTAAATGCGAGTAATAGATACAGAATTAAGGCACGAAAGTGTATGTTTTCTTTTTTCTGTACAGATGTAAATAATTTGAGTATATTATTGAACAGTGGCAAAATAAACATGGGCTCTTTGTGTTATTATGTAAGGAGCTCTTTATAGGAGCTGTGTGTCAGTGGCTGATTCGTAGTATGGCACTGGCGGTCGTTTCACGATGTGTGTACTCAAGCCATCTGTCATGTTGGTGTGAACCTGTCGCCTAACACTTGTTAGACTTGACCAACTTGAGCTGACTCCCAAGCTAGCCTAGTGTGGGCTATTAGACACGCAGCTAATGTGCTCCTTGACAAGTCCTGGGGCTTCATATGAAGACCAGAGTTCCACCAGCACAGTATTGTTGCCATAATTCAATGATATTAGATATATGCTATAATTTCCAATATGTGTGTTTGTGTGTCGAGAGGGTGTGGTGGTTGGGTCATAATACCCCCCGCCTCCCACGCTGCGACCCCTGTTGGTCCCTCGCGGTAGCGCGCCTCTCCTCTCCTCCATGCGTCACGTGACATCAGTAGGCGCTGCAAACAGCGCGAGTCTCATCATCAGCACCGCATCGCCAGGCAAGCAGACTCGAGACCCACCGACCAACCGAGCCTCAGTGGTCCCTCATCACAGAGACGATAATAACGGAGAGGAGGTAGACTCCTCACGAGGCCATGGCAGGGCCCCCGTAAACAGACAAACATATTTATTCTCTTTGTTCGCCTCGACGCACCGCTCGCCGCCTCCGAGGAGGGGCCGCAGAATAGCTCTCTCTGGTGGAAGAGTGGGGGAAGAGGAGGGGAGAAAGCAACAGGGAGAACCGAGGGATTTTTCTACCGGATAACCTAATGGCAGAGCGCGAGGCGTCGCCGTTACCACTAGAGGTTCGCGCCCGGCTGGCGGAGCTGGAGCTCGAGCTGTCAGAGGGTAAGAACACACCCCAGACGCCCGGTTATTCCGTTAACGTAGAGGAATCTCTACACTAATGGCTCTTTCCACCCCAGACCCCCCTCTCTCTCCCCTGCTCCGCCCCTCCAGATGTTTGTCAGAGCGGCCCTCCCAGTCTGCTCTAGCCGGGACAGGGTGAGGGAAGAGTGGCAGCCCACTGCGGGATTCACCCGCCTTTCTTTGTCTCTCTGGTCGTGACACATACACAGACACATGGCCCTGTGCTCGGTTCAGGTCTGAAAACCGGCTATTTGACCTTGAGAAGTACGTTTTGTCCGTGCTTCCACGGACCTGTGTGGTGTGTGTAGGCCTGCGTGTGTGTCACGCTCAAACGAATGGATTTAATAATCGCGATGCCGATGCAACACTGCGTGACAGGAGACGGTTCGGTGGTGTGTGTGTGTGTGTGTGCTCAGGCTCGGTGTTTTGGCCTGCACGCTCAGCAGCTGATGATGATGATTTGGGTGTTTTTTTTCTGACGACAATTGAATCTAAAATAAAATAGTCGAAACCGAATCTGTTAAATCACAACCAAGCCTATCCACCAATGGAATGCGGAGATTATTTTGCCGCATGTTATATTGTCAGATAAATTGCGCATTTGTTTCATTTGTGTCTGCGTTATATAATGTTGACATATTTTATTCATATACATTGTCTGCTCTATAGATTGTTGTCAACGCTCCTGGTGTATGTTGTGTGGTTTACATGGACTAGCGTGGTAGGGACACACTGTTGAACGCCTATAGCCTTGATGTGTTGTTGTCAACGTTTTTCTATTGCAGCCAGATGTACAGTATCTTATGATTGCTTGAGTGTTGGTTCCCAAACCCAGCTTTCCCTCCATAGGCTGTTCAATCAGAGCAGAACCAGGACATGGCAGTTACTTGTGGACAGTGTTTCCCCTATGATTTTTTTCAGCAAGGGTGGGTGTGGGGGTTCATTGCTAGTAATAATAATAATAATATGCCATTTAGCAGACGCTTTTATCCAAAGCGACTTACAGTCATAGTGTAGCAATGCAATGACATGCTAGCTGTTCCCATAGACTTCCAGTCGTTGAGCCAACTACTTTCCATTTAAAAGCACGTCTCCTGGGCCACCGCTACTAAATGAATATAGAGGAAACAATGGGTGGAGATGGAGAGCTGCTGTATGTGGACATGAATGGATGATGACAGACAGGAATGTATTAGGACAGATATATCATGGTCATTATCAGGTGCCACTCTGTCAACGTTGTTGATGTAGGCCTATCACTAAACGCTTTATTTAAAAGATCGCTTGTGGGAGCAGCCAACAGTGAGCGGACAATACCTTTTTCTTTAGGGGTTCTGTTTTTATCTAGCTCCTTTGGCAAGCTGCTCTCTTGTGCTACACAGCATGTTATTCTCACACCTTCCTCTCTGCCTTTCTCTGGCCCATCGAGTGACCATTCCGTGCAGGGACAGGGTGTGCGTGTGCGTGCGTGCGCGTGCGTGCAGCGTGTGTGTGAGCCCTCTGGCACGGCTCTGGACACGCGTGTATAGACACAGGACTCTGGGACACGAGTTTCAGCCTGGAAGCCCAAGGTCCCCATGACGCATGCTGTGTGTGTGTGTGTGTGTGTGTGTGTGTGTATGTGTGTGATCACATGAAATGAGATTGTAATGGATACAAAGATAAAAGGAGAAACGAGAGTGAAAGAGAGGGAGAGGGGGTATACAGATTGATTGGCTTGGCATCTCTCTCCCAGTGTCTATCTGTGTGATTTAATTTGTTCACAATGACCAATAGGGAAGGAATGCTGCTTAGACTGTAACCAATCACAGCTGGATGTTGATGTGATTCTGGGGATCGGTGTGAGACACACAAAAACACACACACTTTCCAAATGTTCTATGTTGGCTAGCAATTTTCAGACACTTGAAGGAAAATGTAAGTTTCAATTGCACCTCCGTCATTCGATCGCGTCATGCCATTGTTATGAACGTTCTCAAGCCTCCCTCTGCCGGCGATGCCATAGAGGTGCCAAAAAGTCGTGATAATCCCAGTCATTCTGGACGGAGGCTAACGGCTGTGTCTTCTAAATTACACTATAGTGTCCTGGAAATACGATGACATTGCTAAAGTAGGCAGATATTTCGTAGGAAACAACTTTGCCATCATTATCATGTCATCAAATTTACTTTAGACAGATGGCGATGTTGTCATTAGCTAGCAAAGTTCGTCAAAAATAGCTAGCAATGTTAACGTTAGTTAGCTAAAATTCGGTGCTCTCGACCTCAATTTTAGCTAGCTAGTTAACGTTATACTCCATCTAAAGTCAATCTGGCGAAATCAAAATCATGACTAAAGGTTTTCCTACTAATTATTGTATTCCATGCCACAGTAATGCACTTTTGAGAGTCCAAAACGTTCAAACAAATGTTAAAAACTATATTATGACGAAACGTGCAACCCATGAATAGTATGAAACTGTGAGAGACCGAGAGAAAAATATCATTTGAAGAAAGAGAGAATAGGAGAGAGAGAGCAGGCATAGGGTTGTTATGAACTCTGATATTTCAGTATGGTATTCTCACACAAACACACAAACACACACACACTCAGGCAGGTATCATTAGCCCAGTTTTCACATCTGGAAATCCAAGATGGCCACCAGGCCTTCTCCAGGAGAACGGTTGCTAGGCAACTTCCTCCCTGCTCCACTGCCTTAAGATCTGAAGATGGTGTCTCCCTGTGGATGGTGTGTGTGTGAGTGAGTGCAGAAACAGGAATGCTGTATCTGATCTGCAGAAAGGCCTCACAGCGATAAAACACATACACACACACATGCTGAATATCATAGCAAGGAACAGATGAGGGGATTGGACCCAGATGTTCTGGCCACTCTCCATGGTCAGATAGTGAAATACATACTCTCACGCTCTCTCTCCCACTCATTCACTCTAAAAAATAAAATGTCCTCTCACACACACTAAAGGGGTGGGTTCTGAGGCCTCATGTAAAAAAACAGGGTTAACTGATACTCTTACACTCAAAACAACCTCTTTCTCTCTCCGTCTCTCTATCCCCCCCCCCCCCCCCCCCCCCCCCCTCTCTCTCTGCCAGGTGACATCACACAGAAGGGTTATGAGAAGAAGCGGTCTAAGCTGATCAGGGCCTACTTTCCTCATCCTGGAGGTACATAAATACAGTCTCTGTCCTCTAGTAGAACACCTCTATGCAGCACATCTATTCTAGTCCCACTGGGTTTAACCCTCCTCGTTTAACCCCTGGCTCTCTCTCACTCTGGGTCACACAAGACTTTGTATTACTCCAATGCGCTCAATGTAGCAGCATATTGAATATGCTGAAAGCTCCTTCCACACTGAGAATGTTGGGTGATTTTTGTATCTCCATCTGTGGCTTTGACTGTATCTTTTTGACTCTCTCATTATTTTTCTGTCTGCCTTTCCCTGTTTGTTTGTGTGTGTGCAGGTATGGAGGGTATGTCTCACCGCCCTCCCTTCGCCCCCCCGTCTGCCGCTCGTTTCCACAGACGACGCTCTTCTGGAACACATGATGAACGCTACCGTTCAGGTACACACACACACACCTTTACTACAGATGAGATACTGAACCTGACTTTAGACCAGAGTTATTCAAACTGTTGGTCAATAGACACACCTTTAGTCAGTCCTTTCAGTATAACCATATAATATAGATATATATTTTAATTAAATTGACTAACATAATTTCTGTCCCTCTCTCTCCAACACCATATCACCCCCCAGACGTCCACAGTGAGGCGGTACAGGCAGTGTTAGCCAGGCATGTGGAGAGCAACGTGGCAGTGCCTATGCCCTCCAAACGACGATCACTGGTGGTACAGACATCCATGGATGCGTACACCCCCCCAGGTGAGACACACACACATACACTTATCAGGTTATGTTCGGTGCTTGACTTGGGCAGGAGCTCACCTGAACTGAGTAACTGCACCTCACATTTTCTACTGCTTGAGTTCCTGCACCCCTTATAGAATATTATTAGCTCAAAAGTATTGCAGAGTTCCTGCACCTAAATATAAAGAGTAACGGTAGCTAACTCCGTTCCGTACATATGTGGGCAACCGCGGCATTCAAACGAGGCTGCAATGAAAACTAATGGGACTGTAGCGACTGTGTTGGCATCAAAATCCGGGGTGTGAACTAAGTTTCGATTCAGCGTTGATTGACATGGTAATTGACCAATAGTATTGGAGAAAAGTTGAAAAAACTGACCCCGCTGACGCTGTACGTTAAAGTATGACATGTCACGACGTAAAGTACGGCACGCATTATTCAACTCATTCTGTGCCGTACAGCCTCTTTCCACCAGGTGTAGCGCTTCTCTCGCAGATTAAAAACATGAAATGATCAATGGTGAGTGTAATGGTGAGTGTAAAGTTGTCACGCTCTGGCTCTGGGGACTATGTTATGTTGAGCCAGGGTGTGTAAGTCTATGTTTAATTTTCTATGTTGGTCTGAGTGACTCCCAATCAGAGGCAACGAGTGTCAGCTGGGTGTCTCTGATTGGGAGCCATATTTAACTGTTGGTCTTGCACTTTGTGTTTTGTGGTTTCTTGTTCCTTTTGGTTTGTGTATCGAAGGACTTCACGTTTCGTTCTTTGTTTTGATCGTGTGATCTAGTAAATAAATATAAATATGTTCACCCGCAACGCTGCGCCTTGGTCCTCTCTGTTCGACGAGCGTGACAGAAGAAACCACCTTAACCAGACCAAGCAGCGTGTTCAGGAGCCATCGCTGGCAGATCTCCGTGGCAACCTCGACTGGATCAAGCAGCGTGACGAGGAGAGAGGATGGACGTGGGAGGAGATGATTGCGAGTCTGGCAAGAGGGAGGAGAGACCCCCAGGAAATTTTTAGGGGGGGGCTCACGACGTCGGGCCAGCAGGTGTACGGGTTAGAGCGGTGCAAAGCGTTGGCAGAGAAGGCCGCCAGGTTAGGGGGGCCACTGGGCACAGAGGAGAGGGAAAGTGTGGAGGCACGGCGAGAGGTACTGGGGTGTGTTACCAGTCCGGTCCGGCCCGTTCCTGATCCCTGCGTGGGGCCAGTGGTGTGTGTCCCCAGTACGGTCCGGCCTGTTCCTGCCATTCCCACCAAGTCAGTGGTGCGCGTCGTCAGCCCAGCCCGGCCTGTCCCTGCCATTCCCACCAAGTCAGTGTTGCGCGTCGTCAGCCCGGCCCGGCCTGTTCCTGCCATTCCCACCAAGTCAGTGGTGTGCGTCGACAGCCCAGCCCGGCCTGTCCCTGCTCCACGCACCAAGCCTACGGGGTGCGTCGCCAGTCCAGCCCGGCCTGTCCCTGCTCCACGCACAAAGCCTACGGTGTGCGTCGCCAGCCCAGCCCGGCCTGTCCCTGCTCCACGCACAAAGCCTACGGTGTGCGTCGCCAGCCTGGTTCAGCCCGTTCCTGCTACTCGCACCAAGCCCGGGGTGCGAGTCGTCAGCCAGGTCCGGCCCGTCGCTGCTCCACGCACCAAGCCAAGGGGGCGCATCGTCAGCCAGGTCCGGTCCGTTCCTGCCTCACGCGCCAAGCCAGGGGTGCGCGTCGTCAGTCCGGCACGGCCCGTGCCTGCTCTCCGCACCAAGTCTATGGTGCGTTTCGTCAGCCCTGTCCGGCCCGTTCCTGCTCTCCGCACCAAGTCTGTGGTGCGCGTCGCCAGCCCGGTCCGGCCCGTCCAAGCTCCCCGCACCGGGTCAGTGGTGCGCGTCGTCAGCCTGGTCCGGCTCATTCCTGCTCCCCGCACCAAGTCAGGGGTGCGCTTCGTCAGCCCGGTCCGGCCCGTTCCTCCTCCACGCATCAAGCCAGGGGTGTGCGTCGTCAGTCCAGCACAACCCGTGCCTGGGTCATGTCCGGAGCCGGATCCGCCGCCGAGGCGGAGTGCCCACCCGGTCCCTCCCCTGTTGCGGTTGTTTGGCGCGGCCGGAGTCCGCGCCTTTGGGGGGGGGGGTACTGTCACGCTCTGGCTCTGGGGACTATGTTATGTTGAGCCAGGGTGTGTAAGTCTATGTTTAATTTTCTATGTTGGTCTGAGTGACTCCCAATCAGAGGCAACGAGTGTCAGCTGGGTGTCTCTGATTGGGAGCCATATTTAACTGTTGGTCTTGCACTTTGTGTTTTGTGGTTTCTTGTTCCTTTTGGTTTGTGTATCGAAGGACTTCACGTTTCGTTCTTTGTTTTGATCGTGTGATCTAGTAAATAAATATAAATATGTTCACCCGCAACGCTGCGCCTTGGTCCTCTCTGTTCGACGAGCGTGACAAAAGTTAATTACTTGTGAGTTCATCAATAGTTAATTCAATCAATTGTAAATTTTTCGCATAATCACTGCGAGCCATCATGACTCTCAAAAACCGTGACACCCACAGTTTAATTGTGAAGATAAATTTAGCGCCACCCTAAAAACCCTATTCAAATTCGACACAAACCTTCAAATAGGTATGTAATGAGAAATTACAGTGAGGGAAAAAAGTATTTGATCCCCTACTGATTTTGTACGTTTTCCCACTGGCAAAGACATGATCAGTCTATAATTTTAATGATAGGTGTATTTGAACAGTGAGAGACAGAATAACAACAAAAAAATCCAGAAAAACGCATGTCAAAAATGTTATAAATTGATTTGCATTTTAATGAGGGAAATAAGTATTTGACCCCCTCTCAATCAGAAAGATTTCTGGCTCCCAGGTGTCTTTTATACAGGTAACGAGCTGAGATTAGGAGCTCACTCTTAAAGGGAGTGCTCCTAATCTCAGCTTGTTACCTGTATAAAAGACACCTGTCCACAGAATCAATCAATCAATCAGATTCCAAACTCTCCACCATGGCCAAGACCAAAGAGCTCTTCAAGGGTGTCAGGGACAAGATTGTAGACCTACACAAGGCTGGAATGGGCTACAAGACCATCGCCAAGCAGCTTGGTGAGAAGGTGACAACAGTTGGTGCGAAAATCCGCAAATGGAAGAAACACAAAAGACTGTCAATCTCCCTCGGCCTAGGGCTCAATGCAAGATCTCATATCGTGGAGTTGCAATGATCATGAGAACGGTGAGGAATCAGCCCAGAACTACATGGGAGGATCTTGTCAATGATCTCAAGGCAGCTGGGACCATAGTCACCAAGAAAACAATTGGTAACACACTACGCTGTGAAGGACTGAAATCCTGCAGTGCCCGCAAGGTCCCCCTGCTCAAGAAAACATATATACAGACCCGTCTGAAGTTTGCCAATTAACATCTGAATGATTCAGAGGAGAACTGGGTGAAAGTGTTGTGGTCAGATGAGACCAAAATCGAGCTCTTTGCCATCGCCGTGTTTGGAGGAGGAGGAATGCTGCCTATGACCCCAAGAACACCATCCCCACCGTCAAACATGGAGGTGGAAACATTATGCTTTGGGGGTGTTTTTCTGCTAAGGGGACAGGACAACTTCACCGCATCAAAGGGACGATGGACGGCCATGCACCGTCAAATCTTGGGTGAGAACCTCCTTCCCTCATCCAGGGCATTGAAAATGGGTCGTGGATGGGTATTCCAGCATGACAATGACCCAAAACACACGGCCAAGGCAACAAAGGAGTGGCTCAAGAAGAAGCACATTAAGGTCCTGGAGTGGCCTAGCCAGTCTCCAGACCTTAATCCCATAGAAAATCTGTGGAGGGAGCTGAAGGTTCGAGTTGCCAAACGTCAGCCTCGAAACCTTAATGACTTAGAGAAGATCTGCAAAGAGGAGTGGGACAAAATCCCTCCTGAGATGTGTGCAAACCTGGTGGCCAACTACAAGAAACGTTTGACCTCTGTGATTGCCAACAAGGGTTTTGCCACCAAGTACTAAGTCATGTTTTGCAGAGGGGTCAAATACTTATTTCCCTCATTAAAATGCAAATCAATTTTTAACATTTTTGACATGCATTGTTCTAGATTTTTTTGTTGTTATTCTGTCTCTCACTGTTCAAATAAACCTACCATTAAAATTATAGACTGATCATGTCTTTGTCAGTGGGCAAACTTACAAAATCAGCAGGGGATCAAATACTTTTTTCCCTCACTGTATATAAACTCTTTATAGTGTTTTATTTACATTTTAGAGGTGATAAGTTGGACAAATCGGGTGAAAAAAGATGGTTCCCCACCCGCCATTTAAAAAAAGACCAGGCGGAGCTCCATTGCTTTCTTCAATCATGCAGAGACAGGCAGCATGAAGGTCTCGTCATTGACTTTGCTGGAAAGGGGAGAAATTGTGCTTTACAATGGTATTCATATTACAATTGACCTGGAAGTATTACGTTTTTGGGGTGCTAAAATAAGGTCAAATGTAGGGAACAGAGCGATGTACAAAAGTGCGTTAGCTACCGTTACCGGCACTCAAAATGAGTACCGGCTCCTATTTCAGTCCAAGTCAAGCACTAGTTATGATTATGTTAGTGTTATACTGTAGTAAAGTTGGATGAAGGTTACTGACCCTCACTAGGCCTGTCCCCACTGTGCTCAGACTCGTCGTCGGGCTCAGAGGAAGAGGAGGGGCCAGGCGATGACATGCCGGGAATGGAACACTGGATGACTCGCCCTGCCCACTTAGGTCCAGCCCACCTAGGCTCCACCTCCTCGTCCTCCTCGTCCACTCAGAGCGGAGGAAGCGGCAACGCAGGACGACTAGCCGACTCGCTCGCACACACACACCTCTCACACCCACACCTGGCGCACGCCCATCTCACACACACACACCTGACCCAGTCACACCACGTGTCAGCTCACCACTCACAAACACACCACGGTGAGTACAACTTCACTGTGAGTGTATGTGTGTACAGGATGTGTGTGTTTACATCTAATCTGTGTGTGTATGTGTGTGTCTGCAGGTATAGGGCACCTGTCTCTGAAGCGTAAGGCAGCTCTGGGCGTGGCAGAGAACGGAGGCTCTCTCAGAAGATCCTGTGAGTTCGGCTCTGATATGCTGTGGCCTCCACCACTGGAGTCTGATGGTCAGTACAGACACACACACACACCTTTTTTATACATGTGCCCCACCACTACTTTAACTCTCCCTCTCTCTCTGTCTCTTTCTGTCTCTCTCTTTCTGTCTCTGTCTCTTTCTGTCTGTCTCGCTTTCTCTTTTTGTCTCTCTCTTTCTGTCTCTTTCTGTCTCTCTCTCCATTTGTCTCTCTCTCTCTCTCTCTCTCTCCTCTCTCTCTCTCTCTCTCCTCTCTCTCTCTCTCTCTCTCTCTCTCACTGTAGAGAATCACTCTGCTCCTCCTGATGTGACTGGCTACTCGTCTGACTCCTCCCACTCTCACCCCCACCCCCACTCCCACTCAGAGCGCAACATAGGAACCATCGCCCGAAACACGCAGAAATACGGCAACGCTGAACGCATGGAGACTGGAGACGGTGTCCCAGTCAGCAGTCGTGTGTCTGCTAAGATTCAGCAGCTGGTGAACACTCTGAAAATGCCTCGTAGACCTCCGCTCAGAGAGTTCTTCGTTGATGACTTCGAAGAACTTCTAGAAGGTAGGAGCTATCAACCAATAAATCTATCAATAAATCAACTAAGCTTTAAATCTAGCTGTCTAGCAATTTTCTCTGTCTTTGTATTTAGTGAAAGGTTAGTGAATGTTTCTGCAGTATTCTGTAGTACAGTGGGGAAAAAAAGTATTTAGTCAGCCACCAATTGTGCAAGTTCTCCCACTTAAAAAGATGAGAGAGGCCTGTAATTTTCATCATAGGTACACGTCAACTATGACAGACAAAATGAGAAAGAAAAATCCAGAAAATCACATAGTAGGATTTTTAATGAATTTATTTGCAAATTATGGTGGAAAATAAGTATTTGGTCAATAACAAAAGCTTCTCAATACTTTGTTAAATACCCTTTGTTGGCAATGACACAGGTCAAACGTTTTCTGTAAGTCTTCACAAGGTTTTCACACACTGTTGCTGGTATTTTGGCCCATTCCTCCATGCAGATCTCCTCTAGAGCAGTGATGTTTTGGGGCTGTCGCTGGGCAACACAGACTTTCAACTCCCTCCAAATATTTTCTATGGGGTTGAGATCTGGAGACTGGCTAGGCCACTCCAGGACCTTGAAATGCTTCTTACGAAGCCACTCCTTCGTTGCCCGGGCGGTGTGTTTGGGATCATTGTCATGCTGAAAGACCCAGCCACGTTTCATCTTCAATGCCCTTGATGATGGAAGGAGGTTTTCACTCAAAATCTCACGATACATGGCCCCATTCATTCTTTCCTTTACACGGATCAGTAGTCCTGGTCCCTTTGCAGAAAAAACAGCCCCAAAGCATGATGTTTCCACCCCCATGCTTCACAGTAGGTATGGTGTTCTTTAGATGCAACTCAGCATTCTTTGTCCTCCAAACACGACGAGTTGAGTTTTTACCAAAAAGTTATATTTTGGTTTCATCTGACCATATGACATTCTCCCAATCCTCTTCTGGATCATCCAAATGCACTCTAGCAAACTTCAGACAGGCCTGGACATGTACTGGCTTAAGCAGGGGGACACGTCTGGCACTGCAGGATTTGAGTCCCTGGCGGCGTAGTGTGTTACTGATGGTAGGCTTTGTTACTTTGGTCCCAGCTCACTGCAGGTCATTCACTAGGTCCCCCCGTGTGGTTCTGGGATTTTTGCTCACCGTTCTTGTGATCATTTTGACCCCACGGGGTGAGATCTTGCGTGGAGCCCCAGATCGAGGGAGATTATCAGTGGTCTTGTATGTCTTCCATTTCCTAATAATTGCTCCCACAGTTGATTTCTTCAAACCAAGCTGCTTACCTATTGCAGATTCAGTCTTCCCAGCCTGGTGCAGGTCTACAATTTTGTTTCTGGTGTCCTTTGACAGCTTTTTGGTCTTGGCCATAGTGGAGTTTGGAGTGTGACTGTTTGAGGTTGTGGACAGGTGTCTTTTATACTGATAACAAGTTCAAACAGGTGCCATTAATACAGGTAACGAGTGGAGGACAGAGGAGCCTCTTAAAGAAGAAGTTACAGGTCTGTGAGAGCCAGAAATATTGCTTGTTTGTAGGTGACCAAATACTTATTTTCCACCATAATTTGCAAATAAATTCATTAAAAATCCTACAATGTGATTTTCTGGATTTTTTTCCCCTCATTTTGTCTGTCATAGTTGATGTGTACCTATGATGAAAATTACAGGCCTCTCTCATCTTTTTAAGTGGGAGAACTTGCACAATTGGTGGCTGACTAAATACTTTTTTCCCCCACTGTATGTGTAATGGTCTTATTTGCATGTTTCACAATAAAAGTCTCTGTCTCTCTTTCACTCTTTGTAGTCCAGCAGCCAGATCCTAAGCAGTCGCGTCCGGAGGGGGCAGAGATGTTGGCAGTAAGCGGAGAAGCCCTGGGGGTGGTGACTAACTGGCCCCCCTCCCTGGAGGCAGCTCTCCAACGCTGGGGCACCATCAGCCCTAAAGCGCCCTGTCTCACCAGTCTGGACACCACTGGCAAACCGCTATATGTACTCACATACGGTAACCACACACACACACACACACACACACACACACACACCGAACACACACACTTACTGAGCCTTGTGTTGTGTCCACAGGGAAGCTGTGGTCTCGGAGTATCAAGCTGGCCTATAACATCCTCCACAAGTTGGGCAGCAAGCAGGAGCCCATGTTGCGACCGGGGGACAGGGTGAGTACATGTAGATAATCTATCCCTTGAATGAAATAACAAAAAAACTGTATTTTTACTAGTTATGTTATTTTCAGAGGAATTAAGGACAAGACGGATTGTAATATTTTCTCATTGTCTGTATTCCTCCGATCCACTAGGTGGCACTGGTGTTTCCTAACAATGACCCGGTGGCCTTCATGGTGGCCTTCTACGGCTGCCTGCTGGCTGAGGTGGTCCCTGTACCCATAGAGGTGCCCCTCACACGCAAGGTACAGTACATCTAGTGGATACATAAATCAGTGGTCCAAGCACTGAGCCATGGGGAACACCTTATTTCATTGACATAATGTATATTTTGTTGTATAAGCAATGTGGTCCTCTGTAGTTTAGCTGGTAGAGCACGGCGCTTGTAACGCCAGGGTAGTGGGTTCGAACCCCGGGACCACCCATACACAAAAATGTATGCACGCATGACTGTAAGTCGCTTTGGATAAAAGCGTCTGCTAAATGGCATATTATATTATTATTTTATTATTAAGCACATTCAAGCAAATATATGTATAGAATTTTCTTGTCTTGGACATAAACGTGTCTGTCTTGTCCAATAGGACGCTGGCAGCCAGCAGATTGGGTTCCTATTGGGAAGCTGTGGGGTTACCGTGGCGTTGACCAGTGATGCCTGCCATAAAGGCCTGCCCAAGAGCGCTACAGGAGAGATACCACAGTTCAGAGGTAAGTGTAGGTGTGCGTGCATGCGCATGTGTTTATATATGCCATATTAAAATAAAAGGTTCTAGTAATCTAGTTCCTCAACAGTGTGTGAATGCAGCCAAATGATTGCCTCTCTGTCTCTCTAGGGTGGCCTAAGCTGCTGTGGTTTGTGACTGAGTCGAAGCATCTCTCCAAACCTCCTAGAGACTGGTTCCCTCACATCAAAGATGCAAACAGCGACACAGCATATATAGAGGTAATGCACATTCATTACATTTCTGTTACAAAGAGAACTCCTAATGCAAATCAATACACCGTTTTTAAAAAATGTATTTATTTGTTACTCTACACATACAGACATTTTCACATGCATTCTCTCTCTCTCTCCCAGTATAAGACGTGTAAGGATGGGAGTGTCCTTGGCGTGACGGTGATGAGGATGGCTCTGCTGACTCACTGCCAATCCCTCACACAGTCGTGTGGCTACACAGAAGGTAAGACACACACTTTAAATCTAACAGACAGTCTCTCTCTCACACACACACACGCTCCCACATACACACATTCTGCCAGGTAATCTCTCTAACTCTCTCTTTTGCTTCAATGATCTCCTGACTCTCTCTTTGTCTCCCTCCCTCTCTCACTCCCCCACTCTCTTCTACCCCCCTCCACCTCCCCCACTCTCTTCTACCCCCTCCACCTCCCCCACTCTCTTCTACCCCCTCCAACTCCCCCACTCTCTTCTACCCCCTCTCTCCCCCACTCTCTTCTACCCCCTCCACTCCCCCCTCTCTCTACACCCCTCCAACTCCCCCACTCTCTTCTACCCCCGTCTCTCCCCCACTCTCTTCTACCCCCTCCAACGCCCCCATACTCTCTTCTAACCCCCTCCAACCTCCCCACTCTCTTCTACCCCTCCACCTCCCCCAACTCTCTTCTACCGCCCTCCAACTCCCCTCTCTCTTCCTACCCCCCTCACCTCCCCCACTCTCTTCTACCCTTTCTACCCCCTCCACCTCCCCCACTCTCTTCTAACCAACTCTCAACCTACCCCCCTCCACCTCCCCCACTCTCCTTCTACCCCCTCCACTCCCTCTCTCTTCTAAACCCCTCCACCACCTCCCCCACTCTCTTCTAACCTCTATAACCCCCTCCACCATCCCCCACTCTTTCTACTAACCCCCTCTCTCCCCCACTCTCTTCTACCCCCTCCACCTCCCCCTCTCTTCTACCCCCCTCTCTCTACCCTCCACCCCCACTCTCTTCTACCCCCTCCCCTTCTCTCTCTGCAGCGGAGACCATAGTGAATGTTCTAGACTTTAAGAAGGATGTGGGACTGTGGCACGGCATCCTCACGGTAAGACCTGCTACTAGAGGTCAGGTGTCAGGGAAAGTATGATAAGGGGTTAAGGGTTAGAGGTTGAAGGTTATGTGTGTATCCTATCTCCAGAGTGTGATGAACATGATGCATGTGATCAGCGTTCCCTACTCTCTGATGAAGGTCAACCCATTGTCCTGGATACAGAAGGTCTACCACTTCAAAGGTCAGACACACCAACCTGTCAATCAACCACTCTATAATAAATTCATCTGTCAATCTATACGATATTCTTATCAAGTCATATGTCAATCATTCAGTCAGTATTTGATGCCAACTTTGTGTTAAACTGATGTCAACACTGTGTGTGTGTCTCTCCAGCCAAGGTAGCGTGTGTAAAGTCCAGGGACATGCACTGGGCTCTGGTGGCCCACAGAGAGCAGAAAGGACATCAGCCTGAGTTCCCTCCGGATGCTGCTGGTCGCCGACGGATCTAACCCCTGTAACTATCACTCTATCTTCCCACCTTCTCTCCTCTCCCGTCCCCTCCTCCTCTCTGCTCCTGTCCTCCTCTCATCCTTCTCTCTTCTCCCCTCCCCTCCTCCTCTCTGCTCCTGTCCTCCTCTCATCCTTCTCTCCTCTCCCCTCCCCTCCTCCTCTCTGCTCCTGTCCTCCTCTCATCCTTCTCTCCTCTCCCCTCCCCTCCTCCTCTCTGCTCCTGTCCTCCTCTCATCCCTCTCTCCTCTCCTCCTCCAGGGTCTATTTCGTCCTGTGATGCGTTCCTCAACGTGTTCCAGAGTAAAGGCTTGAGGTCAGAGGTCATCTGTCCCTGTGCCAGCTCCCCTGAAGCCCTGACCGTTGCCATCAGGAGGTACAAACACACACTCACATCATCATAATCAGCAGCATTCTCACTTGGTCAATCCTAGAGTAACAGACTAAACATTTTATTTTGTTGGATTGGAAAAGTATTCTCACTAGGTGAAATGGCTGAGGGGGCACTAGCTTAGATGTGTTATTTAAGCAATAAGTCCAGAAGGGGTGTGGTATATGGCCAATATACCATGGCTAAGGGCTGTTCTTATGCACAACGCAACGCGGAGTGCCTGGATACAGCCCTTAGCCGTGGTTTATTGGCCATATACAACAAACTGGTTACCAATGTAATTAGAGTAGTAAAAATACATGTTTTGTCATACCTGTGGTATACGGTCTGATATACCACAGCTTTCAGCCAAGCAACATTCAGGGCTCGAACCACCCAGTTTATAAAGTGTGATATAGCTCTTCCTTTCTCTCCCTGTCTCTGTTTCTCTCTGATCCAGGCCAGTGGAGGACAGTAGCCAGCCCCCAGGCCGAGGGGTTCTCTCTATGCAGGGACTGAGTTACAGTGTGGTCCGCGTCGACACCGAGGAACGATTGTCAGTCCTCACAGTGCAGGATGTGGGCACTGTTATGCCTGGAGGTAGGGGTGTGTGCGTGTGCGTGCGTGTACATGTACATACCTGTGTGTGTGTTAGGCCTGCTCTGTTCTTCAGCTCCAGTTTTGTGAGGGGTGAGTGTGAGGTATAATGTGTGTGTTCTGTCCCCAGCCCTGGTGTGTGTGGTGAAGCCAGACGGTGTGTGTTGTGTGTTCTGTCCCCAGCCCTGGTGTGTGTGGTGAAGCCAGACGGTGTGTGTGTGTGTTTCTGTCCCCAGCCCTGGTGTGTGTGGTGAAGCAGACGGTGTGTGTGTGTGTTTCTGTCCCCAGCCCGGTGCCTGGTGTGTGTGGTGAAGCCAGACGGTGTGTGTGTGTGTTCTGTCCCCAGCCCTGGTGTGTGTGGTGAAGCCAGACGGTGTGTGTGTGTGTTCTGTCCCCAGCCCTGGTGTGTGTGGTGAAGCCAGACGGTGTGTGTGTGTGTGTTCTCTCCCCAGCCCTGGTGTGTGTGGTGAAGCCAGACGGTGTGTGTGTGTTCTGTCCCCAGCCCTGGTGTGTGTGGTGAAGCCAGACGGTGTGTGTGTGTGTTCTGTCCCCAGCCCTGGTGTGTGTGGTGAAGCCAGACGGTGTGTGTGTGTGTTCTGTCCCCAGCCCTGGTGTGTGTGGTGAAGCCAGACGGTGTGTGTGTGTGTTCTGTCCCCAGCCCTGGTGTGTGTGGTGAAGCCAGACGGTGTGCCTCTCCTGTGTAAGACAGATGAGATCGGGGAGCTGTGTGTGTGTTCTGTCGCCACGGGAACCTCCTACTATGGATTGACAGGCATGACCAAGAACACGTTTGAGGTAAGGAGAGTAGCGTGTGTGTGTGTGTTTGTGTGTAAAATAAATATATTGTGTGTATAACGTGTGTGTGGGTGTTTGTTTATAACATTATAATGTGTGTGTGTAGGTGTTCCCTGTAGCGTCCGGTGGAGGTCTGGTCAGTGAGTATGCGTTTGTGCGTACGGGGCTGCTGGGCTTTGTGGGTCCAGGTGGTCTGGTGTTTATCTCTGGAAAGATGGACGGCCTCATCATGGTCAGCGGGCGCAGACATAACGCTGATGACATCGTAGCCACCGCACTGGCCGTGGAGCCAATGAAATTTGTCTACAGGGGGCGGTATGCAACCGTGCAGTATTATTTGGGCAAAGACACTGTAAATGACACATGTTCTGGTCAAATGTAGGGAATAGTATTCTTCTCTGTACTCTGCATGTAAAAGGTAGCAGTACATATACAGTACCTTACTAGCATAACCATCTAACTCTAACCCTCTCTCTGTCCGTCTGGCTCCAGGATAGCAGTGTTCAGTGTGACCGTGCTGCGTGATGAGCGTATCGTGGTCGTAGCGGAGCAGAGACCAGACTCTACTGAGGAGGACAGTTTCCAGTGGATGAGCCGCGTGCTGCAGGTAACACCACCGCAACATGACCACAGTACGGCCATAATGCAGGTAACACCACCGCAACATGACCACAGTACGGCCATAATGCAGGTAACATCACCGCAACATGACCACAGTACGGCCATAATGCAGGTAACACCACCGCAACATGACCACAGTACGGCCATAATGCAGGTAACACCACCGCAACATGACCACTGTACGACCATAATGCAGGTAACATCACCGCAACATGACCACTGTACGACCATAATGCAGGTAACATCACCGCAACATGACCACTGTACGACCATAATGCAGGTAACACCACCGCAACATGACCACAGTACGGCCATAATGCAGGTAACACCACCGCAACATGACCACAGTACGGCCATAATGCAGGTAACACCACCGCAACATGACCACAGTACGGCCATAATGCAGGTAACATCACCGCAACATGACCACAGTACGACCATAATGCAGGTAACATCACCGCAACATGACCACAGTACGGCCATAATGCAGGTAACATCACCGCAACATGACCACAGTACGACCATAATGCAGGTAACATCACCGCAACATGACCACTGTACGGTCCATAATGCAGGTAAACATCACTGCAAACATGACCACAGTACGACCATAATGCAGGTAACATCACCGCAACATGACCACAGTACGGCCATAATGCAGGTAACATCACCGCAACATGACCACAGTACGACCATAATGCAGGTAACACCACCGCAACATGACCACAGTACGACCATAATGCAGGTAACACCACCGCAACACGACCACAGTACGACCATAATGCAGGTAACACCACCGCAACACGACCACAGTACGACCATAATGCAGGTACCAACCACTCGACCGCAAACATACCAACAGTACGGCCATAATGCAGGTAACATCACCGCAACATGACCACAGTACACCCATAATGCAGGTAACACCACCGCAACATGACCACAGTACGGCCATAATGCAGGTAACACCACCGCAACATGACCACAGTACGGCCATAATGCAGGTAACACCACCGCAACATGACCACAGTACGGCCATAATGCAGGTAACACCACCGCAACATGACCACAGTACGGCCATAATGCAGGTAACACCACCGCAACATGACCACAGTACGACCATAATGCAGGTAACACCACCGCAACATGACCACAGTACGGCCATAATGCAGGTAACACCACCGCAACATGACCACAGTACGACCATAATGCAGGTAACACCACCGCAACATGACCACAGTACGACCATAATGCAGGTAACATCACCGCAACATGACCACAGTACGACCATAATGCAGTAACATCACCGCAACATGACCAAGTACGGCCATAATGCAGGTAACAATCACCGCAACATGACCACTGTACGCCATAATGCAGGTAACAACCGCACATGACCACAGTACGGCCATAATGCAGGTACATCACGCAACATGACCACGTACGCCATAATGCAGGTAAAACCACCGCAACCTGACCACAGTACGACCTAATGCGGTAACACACCGCAACATGACACAGTACGATATGCAGTACATACGCCTCCACATGTGGCATATGCAGTGTAAAACCACCGCAACATGACCACAGTACGGTCATAATACAACCACAACACAGACTGGTCAAAATGTTGCAATAAACTGTTTTTTCTTGTCAATTCGAATAACTTTTTTCTACCTTGCACCTGGGAAATTGTTAGAGGTGCGTACACTACTTTTCAACTGACAGCAGAGTTTTTTCATGATCTCTTGACTCTTCCCCTGTGTATGCGTGTGTGTGATTGACAGGCGATAGACAGTATCCATGGTGTGGGTGTGTTCTGCCTGGCATTAGTTCCAGCCAACACCCTCCCTAAGACCCCCCTGGGGGGTATACACCTGTCTGAGACCAAACAGCTGTACCTGGAGGGGGGGTTGCACCCCTGTAACGTCCTGATGTGTCCTCACACCTGTGTTACCAACCTGCCCAAACCACGACAGAAACAACCAGGTGAGAGGGAGGGAGGGAGGGAGGGAGAGAGCAAGAGAGAGAGAGCGTGTTTAGCAGAGCTGATTTAGTGAATGATGAAAAGCAACCTTGGCTGAAGAACATTGTTAGCTATTATAGCTCTCAACCTTCTTGTTGTCACAGTTAATTCAAGTAACGTTTTGGACACGTGTCTTGACCTTATGTTTGTGTCTATGTGTGTGTTGTAGAGATTGGTCCTGCCTCTGTGATGGTGGGGAATCTGGTGTCTGGGAAGAGGATCGCTATGGCCAGCGGCAGAGACCTGGGACAGACTGATGACAACGACCAGGTAACAAACATCATTCCATTGCCACAGAAATTATGACGTGCTTTTAAAGGTGAGATGGATTATATTAGTGTCTGTGATGTCATATCCTGTTGTGTGTCCTGTAGTTCCTGTTCCTGTCGGAGATGCTGCAATGGAGATCTCAGACTACGCCTGACCACATCCTCTACACACTGCTCAGCTCCCGGGTAACACACGCACACACACACACACACACACACACACACACACACGTATACTATGAATTTGTTAAGGACTCTGTTATGATAGCTCTCTCCTCCTCTCTATCACTACATCTATCTCTCTCTCCCTCTAGGGGGCGGTGTCTAGTTCTCTGACGTGTCTTCAGCTCCATAAGAGGGCAGAGAGAGTTGCTGCTCTGCTGTTGGAGAGAGGAGGACTACAGGAGGGAGACCACATAGCACTGGTCTACCCACCAGGTAACACACACACACACACACTCACTTAGCATGTACCCCCAAATACACTCCTCACTCCTTTGTATGTGTGTTGCAGGTATAGACCTGATCGCAGCGTTCTACGGTTGTCTTTACGCTGGCTGTGTTCCTATCACGGTCAGACCGCCCCACCCACAGAACATCTCAACCACACTGCCCACAGTCAAGATGATCGTAGAGGTGAGAGGTCAAACACTGAGGTCAACTAGGGGTCAATACTGCCCGGTCAACTGGTAGAGAGGGGGTAGAAGATAATGCTGTAGTAGCGTTCTATCTCTCTGTCCCTTCATCATCTCTGTCCCTTCATCATCTCTCTGTCCCTTCATCATCTCTCTGTCCCTTCATCCATCTCTCTGTCCCTTCATCATCTCTCTGTCCTTTCATCATCTCTCTGTCCCTTCACCGATCTCTCTGTCCCTTCATCATCTCTCTGTCCCTTCATCATCTCTGTCCCTTCATCCATATCTCTGTCCCTTCATCATCTCTCTGTCCCTTCATCATCTCTCTGTCCCTTCATCATCTCTGTCCCTTCATCCATATCTCTGTCCCTTCATCATCTCTCTGTCCCTTCATCATCTCTGTCCCTTCATCATCTCTCTGTCCCTTCATCATCTCTCTGTCCCTTCATTCATCTCCTCTGTCCCTTCATCATCTTCTGTCCCTTCATCATCTCTCTGTCCCTTCATCATCTCTCTGTCCCTTCATCATCTCTCTGTCCCTTCATCATCTCTGTCCCTTCATCATCTCTCTGTCCCTTCATCATCTCTCTGTCCCTTCATCATCTCTCTGTCCCTTCATCATCTCTGTCCCTTCATCATCTCTCTGTCCCTTCATCCTGCCCTTCATCATCTCTGTCCCTTCATCATCTCTCATCCCTTCTCATCTTCTGTCCCTTCATCCATCTCTCTGTCCCTTCATCATCTCCTGTCCCTTCATCATCTCTCTGTCCCTTCATCATCTCTGTCCCTTCATCATCTCTCTGTCCCTTCATCATCTCTTCCCTGTCCCTTCATGTCCCTATCTCTTCTGTCCCTTCATCATCTCTGCTCTCCCTTCATCATCTCTGTCCCTTCATCATCTCTCTGTCCTCATCCTCTTCCCTTCATCATCTCTGTCCCTTCATCATCTCTGTCCCTTCATCCATCTCTCTGTCCCTTCATCATCTCTGTCCCTTCATCATCTCTCTGTCCCTTCCACTCCCTCATATCTGTCCCTTCATCATCTCTCTGTCCCTTCATCACTCTGTCCCTTCATCATCTCTGTCCTTCACCATCATTGTCCCTTCATCATCTCTTGTCCTTCACATCTCCTGTCCTCATCATCTCTGTCCCTTCATCATCTCTGTCCCTTCACATCTCTTTCACCTTCATCTCTCTTCTGTCCCTTCATCATCTCTGTCCCTTCAACTCGTCCCTCATCATCTCCTTCATCTTGTCCCTTCATCATCTCTCTGTCCCTTCATCATCTCTGTCCCTTCATCATCTTCTGTCCCTTCATCATCTCTCTGTCCCTTCATCATCATCTGTCCCTTCATCATCTCTCTGTCCCTTCATCATCTCTGTCCCTTCATCATCTATCTGTCCCTTCATCATCTCTCTGTCCCTTCATCATCTCTGTCCCTTCATCATCTCTCTGTCCCTTCATCATCTATCTGTCCCTTCATCATCTCTCTGTCCCTTCATCATCTATCTGTCCCTTCATCATCTCTCTGTCCCTTCATCATCTCTGTCCCTTCATCATCTATCTGTCCCTTCATCATCTCTCTGTCCCTTCATCATCTATCTGTCCCTTCATCATCTCTCTGTCCTTCTAGGTCAGTCGTTCAGCCTGTGTGATGACTACAGCGGTCATCTGTAAGCTGCTGCGGTCGAAGGAGGCGGTCGCCACAGTGGATATCAGGAACTGGCCTCCCGTCCTGGACACAGGTCAGCCCTGACCCTACTCTGACCACACACAGACCACATGTCTGTATCTGTCAGGCTGTTAGCTGGTTGTTTGTACTGGTGTATAACTGAACATTATTCTGTGTTTTCAGATGACCTGCCAAAGAAGAAGGCTCCAGCGCTGTATAAGCCCTGTAACCCTGATGCCCTGGCCTACCTGGACTTCAGTGTGTCCACTACTGGCATGCTGGCTGGAGTACAGGTAACATTAACCTCTGACCTCCATCCCTGACCTCTATCCCTTGCTATGCCTAGTGGCTGACATGGTTCCTGTGTGTGTGTGTGTGTAGATGTCCCATAATGCGGTGGGAGCGTTCTGTCGATCGGTGAAGCTGCAGTGTGAACTGTATCCCTCCAGAGAGGTAGCCATCTGTCTCGACCCCTACTGCGGCCTGGGCTTCGTCCTCTGGTGTCTCTGCAGGTACACACACACACCATAACACACACACACACATAACACACACACACCAGTAAAACAACTGTTTCAATGGCCAACAATTGACTTCCCTTTCTAACCTGTAACTCGCTCTCCAGTGTGTATAGCGGCCACCAGTCTATCCTGATCCCTCCAGTAGAGTTGGAGTCTAACCCAGCCCTGTGGCTGCTAGCTGTCAGCCAGCTCCGAGTCAGAGACACCTTCTGTTCCTACAGCGTCATGGAGCTGTGCACTAAAGGACTGGGCCTGCAGACAGAGGCACTGAAGGTACACAAATACACACACACACACACAAACACTCACACACACACACACACACACACACAAACAAACACAGTTAACACGCAGAGAGAACTAAATCAAGTGCTCTTTGTATTGTCTTTGAATTGACTCAGTAAATGGTGTGTTTGTGGCCTGAGGTGTTGTCTGATTGGTTGCTGATCGACAGATTGAGTTTATTTTAAGAGGTTAACTATCGCCATGGAAACTGGGAGCTGACTCACTGAGAGAAACACATAGGGAACAGATCCAGGAACAAACAACAGCTTTATATAGCTGTCAGTAGGATGAGAGTGGGATGAGAGGGAGGTCATTATTGAAATGTTGTGTTGAGAATTTAAATGTTATGCCCCCTCCCCTCGCTTCTCTTCTCCCCTCTCTCCTCCTCCCCCTCTCTTCTCTTCCCCCCTCTCTCTTCCACCCCTCTCCCTCCCCAGGCACGGGGTCTGGACCTGTCCCGTGTGAGGGCGTGTGTTGTGGTAGCGGAGGAGAGACCCAGGATGTCTCTAACACACTCCTTCTCCAAGCTGTTTAAAGACCTGGGCCTGCACCCCCGATCTGTCAGCACAGCATTTGGCTGTAGGGTCAACCTGGCTATCTGTCTACAGGTAGGTGTTTGTGTGTTTGTGTGTTTGTGTGTTTGTGTGTGTGTTTGTGTGTGTGTGTGTGTGTGATAACATGGTCACTCTGTGCTGTGATTGGTTACAGGGCACCTCTGGGCCGGATCCCACTACAGTGTACGTGGACATGAGAGCTCTGCGACATGATAGGTACGTCTGCCTGTCAATCACAGCAACAACCAATCAGATCAATCAACCAATCAACTTGTATAACAGTGTTTTTGTTTGTCTCTCAGGGTGCGGTTGGTGGAGAGAGGTTCTCCTCACAGTCTCCCTCTCATGGAGTCAGGAAAGGTAGGTTCTGTACCATGTTTGAACATTTAGAATCATAAAGCTTCCTGACTGTAGAGTACTAAGACTCTCTACACATAGACCAGAATGGCTCATAGGCTATATGCTGTATATGGAGCTGGAGATGGAAGCATTGTAGCGTAACCATGGTGACTGTTTCAGATCTTACCTGGCGTCCGCATCATTATCGCCAACCCAGAGACCAAGGGACCGCTGGGAGACTCCCACCTAGGAGAGGTCAGCACACACACACACACACACACACACACACACACACACACACACACACACACACACACACACACAGGAGAGGTCAGCACACACACACAAACACACACAAACACACACATACTCACACACTGAACTTGTTTCATGATTTTATGTTGCCCCAATAAAGATGATTGTCTCTCCCTCCCCCGTCTCTAGATCTGGGTGCACAGTGCCCATAACGGCAGTGGATATTACAGTGGTTATGGAGAGGAGGTCCTTCAGTCTGATCACTTCACCTCCAGACTCAGCTTCGGAGACACATCCACCGTCTGGGCTCGCACCGGATACCTGGGCTTCTTACGACGTACTGAACTCACCGATGCCAGCGGAGGTATACACACACAAACATACACACACACACACGCACTAACACACACACTCACCCTTTCTCTGTGTTCCCTCCCCAGAGAGACATGATGCTCTGTATGTGGTGGGTGCATTGGAGGAGGCCATGGAGCTGAGGGGGATGAGGTACCATCCTATAGACATAGAGACCTCCGTCATCAGGACGCACAAGAGCATCATGGAGTGGTACGTCACTGTACACCTAAAACAACACAAAAGCTATTTCTATTCTTAATTAAGGTATAAACACTATAGTTGTAAATTACTAATCTGTGTATATATATATATGTGTGTGTATGTGTGTGTGTACGTGCGTGCCACAGTGCGGTGTTTCCCTGGACTAACCTGCTGGTAGTCGTAATAGAACTAGAAGGCTCGGAGCAGGAAGCCCTGGATCTGGTTCCCATGGTGACCAAGGCAGTGCTGGAGGAGCATTACCTCATCGTTGGGGTTGTCGTGGTAACGGACATCGGGGTGATCCCCATCAACTCTCGCGGGGAGAAGCAGCGCATGCACCTCCGAGACGGCTTCCTACAGGACCAGCTAGACCCCATCTACGTGGCCTATAACATGTAACCCAGCCGCCCCATCCGGGGGTGGGGTGTGTGTGTGTATGTGTGTGTTAGCATGCGTGTGTATGGATGTGTGTGTGTGTATATCGCTGGTGTTCATTTAAAATCAAGACGTACTGTATTTTTGAATCTGCATATGGTCATATGCCAGTTGTCTGATCCTTTAGTTGAGCTGTGGTGGAGGTATGGCTGTTTCTGCACCCCCGGTTAAACCGGACACCTAGACAGGAAGTCACTGTACAAAACCTTAAGGGAACACTGTGTATCGATGGACAGAAAGACTGACTGCACCACTAGTAGTTGTTGTTAGGAGAGAGAAAATATCTCAGAACATATCTGTTTTCTTGATGAAATAGACATTTAAAATAAAGTTCTTAAAGTATATTGTCAGAAGAAGACAGGGGGTTCAGGTTAGTGTATAAATATAAATATTGTACATAAACATAATCTATATGGAGAGAAAACTAAAACACACTGAGGACTATCCCTGTTACACAGCTCTCCACCCGCACCCGGTGTGTGTGTGTGTGTGTGTGTGTGTGTGTGTGTGTGTGTGAGTGTGATACAGTGTACTCCTTTTCAGAATCACATCCATCCTCGATTTGTTTCCTAAAAACCAATTGACTCCTAAATGTCAAGTCAATCTGTTAGAAGGAAACCTTTGTTTCTCTCCCAAATTGTTTTAATGTTGTAAGCATTTGATTATGGTAATATGTGATTCTGCTAAGCAGAGAGCCCAGTAAGTAGCAGAGGAAAAATGTAGTTGCAAGGAGTTGTAAAACCCAGCTCTGGACCAGAGAAACAATACCTTCTAAATGACACCCTATTTCCTTTATAGTACACTACTTACTTATATAGGGAATAAGGTGCTATTTGGGACACATCCGCAGTGAAGTGTTCTAACAAAGAGACACAGTTTAGATTTGTTTTATATATCTGTCATAAGATTATTACTTATGGCATCTTATATGCATGTTATCAGTTATTCCTTTTCTGAGAAAAACATCATTTTAATGCGCCTTATGCTTTGTTTACATTCAGTTCCTGTTTGATCATTATAAACACAACACATCTCATTTTTATTTCATTCATCAGCTACTTTTGTCTCAGAGAACTATAATATGATGCCATGTATGAAAAACATGCATATCATGACGTGTATTTATTTGCTTGTTATTCTGTGTTAGAGAATGGTGATGGTATTATCAGCCCCTGACTGTGTGTTAGAGAGAGAGGAGTCTTGTGGGTAGGGTTAAGCCTGGTCCAGAAACTAGAGGTGAGAGCGACTGCATGGTGTGTGCGTGTATGTATATATTGTGTGTAAATAGTGTTGATTTTGTATGGTACAGGTGTGTGTGTGACTGTTTTGTACACATGATGAAAATATAAAAATGACACTTTTATAAGAGCCTTCCATTGGCTCGATGTCACACTATACAGTGCAATAAAGTGCTTTGATTGGTGTGCTGTTATTGGTTCACATGCTTTCAGTGGTGCTCAGCAGAGAGGGAAAGGACTTGCACAAGTTCTAGGATCAGTTCTCTGTCTTGGGTGACTTCATCCTACTCTATGGACAGATGCTCAACACTAATTGGGGCCTCTAGTGCAGGGGTTCCCAAACTTTTTCACTCGGAGCCCCCCTTCCAGCATTGGGGAACATCCCTTGCGTGCGTGCGCCAGGTCTATTTCTATGGGCACAAGCACTGTTCATGACACAAACTGCAATTCTACACATTTTGTCATGGGGTGCAAAGAAAATGTTGCAGTTTTAAAGCTAATTGTCTTGCAGTTCTATACATTTTGCGATGTCTAATGTATATTCATGTGATAATTGAGTGACTAAAAAATTACAACTATCTATGGGCTAAAAAACCTAAATAAAGAAACGTTAGCTGACATGGGCTAGTTGATCTGGACGGTTATAAATAGCTCTCTAAGGTATGCAATGACTAACATGACAAGAGGAACTGATGATGCACTACCCAATTTCAAAATTGCAGCTTGTGCATTCTACTATTACAACTTTCAAGAGCAAGTTTAAAGCCGGTGGTGGGACCCCTGCGCCCCACAATTTGGGAACCACTGCTCTAGAGGACAAGTAGGAACTGAATAGAGGCTGCTCAGAGCGTCAGTGGGTTCCCATATTTACATCATCATGTCATAACAGGAAACTGTGTGTGTCACACATGAATATGTTGGTACTAAGGCGCAGACCCACACACACACACTTTAAAACACGTACAAACAGATCTCAGACAAACATCTGAAGATGAATCTCTGTTTTTGTCCAAGTAAGGCTAAAATTCGTACTATTCCTCTGAAGTTCCAAATATACAGTACAGTACCAGATACAGTACATCGGTACAATCCTCATCCAATGAGAGTTAAGGAAATGGGGAGGGGGAGGGAGCAGGAAAATGGAAAAAGAAAGAACTGTGAAAACAGAAATCTGATGGATGTCATAAATTAGGAAACGTCTTCAAAATATCTCCAAACCGAGTGGGTTGTCTCTAATTTATGCTTTGGCCACAACTACAAGGACGAGTCAATAACATTATTTGGGTATGAGTTGATAGAAAATGAGCTGTTAAAAATGAGATTCTCATTGGACAGGTACTTTCAAAGATCTGAGACTATAACTCACTCTCTTTTCTTTCTTTCTCCACTCTCCTCTCATGGACAATACCATGACTCCTTTTTGACCATCTCAGGTTGTTAAATTTAACCATCCAGGGACTTAATATGACAGAAGTGGTCGTGTGATGAGTAATCTTGCCTAAGACTGAAGAATTGCCCTTGACCCTAACTGCAGCCTTATCCTCAATCGCTCTCTCTCTCTATTTTTCTCTCTCGCTCTCTCTCTTAGAGCCATGTGAATGTTGTTATGGTATAAAGACATTCTTCATCATCACATTAAACTAGTAAATGACTGAATTATTTGTGAGGCGGCCAGAACACAGCTGGGATGAGTTTATCACTGGAATTTCATCCTCTTCCTTTTCCCCTCTTCTCTTTTCACTCTATGCTGTTCTCTCCTCTCCTCTCAATCGGCTCTCCTCCTCTCTTCCACTCCATCTCTCCTCCCCTCTCTCTCCTCTCTTCTTATCTCTTCTCCTCACAGGAATGTATCAGAGTACCTCTGATGGGACATTATCTTTCATTATAAATATCTGACAGTCAGCCTGGCATTACAGAGCACTATCAGCTATCAGGTTTCTAAGGCTACAAGCATGTCGAGTGTAGTTCAGGTGAAGGCCGCTAGAGGTCACTGGGGTGGTGCTGTAAACTGAAGGCTGGGGAGATGGCACACCAGGCAGGTAGGCCTAGGCTACATGTCCTTCACTCTGACCCTCAACTCATACCTCAGAGTCCTACTCCAAACAAGCTAAATACGTTTTAGAGAAGTTGAAATGCTTGAACTGGGGTCCCGTGTGGCTCAGTTGGTAGAGCATGGCACTTGCAACGCCTGGGTTGTGGGTTTGATTCCCACGGGGGACCAGTATGAAAAAGTACAAATGAATACACTCACTACTATATGTCGTTCTGGATAAGAGCGTCTGTTAAATGACTAAAATGTAAATGAACTGATCTTTGCGGTCCAGACTGTTATTATTGGAGATGTAGGAGTCTGGGAGGTAGGCTATAACTAGGCCCGATAGACTGTCTATAACCATAACCACAGTCCGAGTTTTAGTTGACTGAACAGGAACTAGAACACATCTTCTCATAAAAAAAGAGGGTTTTAATCTAACCATCCAGGGACTTAAAGTGACAGAAGTGGTCGTGTAATGAGTAACCTTGCCTAAAGGCCGCTACACACTTTCTGCAAACTACGCCAACGCAGCGACGGAGCATCGTTTTCTACGTAGTTCTACGTACTTTTGTGCGGCTCAAATTTTGGACCGGAACGTATATGATGCTCTGTCGCTCTGTTTGCGTTAAGACTGAAGAATAGCCCTAGACCCTAACCCCAGGCTTATCCTCAATATTTATTTATTTCTCTCTCTCAGAGATGTGAATGTTATGCTATAAAGACATTCTTCATCATCAAATGACATCAATAATTCATTATAATTATCTGACAGTCAGCCTGGCATTACAGAGCACTATCAGCTATCAAGTTCAGAAGGCTAGATGGCACACCAGGCAGGTAGGCTAGGCTACATGTCCTTCACTATGACCCTCAACTCATCCCTACTCCAAACAAGGTAAATACCTTTTAGACAACTGATTATCTTTGCCATCCAGACAGTAATTATCGGAGAGGTCAGAGACAAGGAGTCTAGGAGGTAGGCTATTACTAGGTCTAATCTCTGTCATAACCACAGTCGGAGTTTTAGTTGACTGAACAGAAATTACAACACATCTTCTCTTTAAAAAAAAAAAAAAAAAACTGTTGTATACAATTTCTCTCTCCCTATCGCTCTCTCTTTCTCTCTTTCTCTCTCTATCTCTCTCTGTTTCTCTCTCTCTCTATTTATCTCTCTCTTTCTCTCTGTGTGTGAGAGTGAGTGTTGTTGTTATTGAGCCCACTGCATGCCTCGGGAGCGCGCATCGCTCAGGCGCGGGTAGAGGCTGGACAGAGTTGACGGTACCGCGAAGTGCCATAAGTTAACGGGAAAGAGAGATCTCTGCTGTCACACGGACCTCCATCTCTCTTCTGATAGCTGCCCTCAGAGCTTTCTGTGGCTCCGACTGACTCTCCACCTTTCCAGCCTCCTCTTTCTTTTTCTTAGTCTCCCTGTTGTTCTCTCTCTCCCTCTTTTTATCCATACCAGTACCAACAGCTGTCTGGAAGATTTTAACGGACACCTCGTGGAACGTTTTCTTTTAGCGTTTACAAGCTGTGGTTATTTTCTTCACCAACACCAATAGACTGATAACCATTATTCATGTGTACTTCTTTCGGTGTCTGATGTTGTATTGATTTTTCGGGGTGAAATATTATCCGGGCTCTGCCCTCGCGCTGCGACCTGAGAGGGACCCCATGAGTTCCGCTAGGTGTGACGAGGCCCCACCGTAAGCTTGGAAATATCGGAGTACTACTTGCTCGTGCGCAACCTGCAACAATGGAGCGGTCACGGCTCGGTCTGCTGCTCCTCGCGCTCTGCCTTTTACATATGGTGAGTAGATGTCACCTATAGGTACAGTGCATTCAGAAAGTATTCAGACCCCTTGACTTTTTCCGCATGTTGTTACGTTACAGCCTTATTCTAAAATTGGTTAAATTATTTTTTCCTACACACAATACCCCATAATGACAAATCGAAAACAGGTTTTTAGAAATGTTTGCAAATGTATTAAAAATAAAAAACAGAAATACCTAATTTACATAAGTATTCAGACCTTTTGCTATGAGGCTCGAAATTGAATTCAGGTGCATCCTGTGTCCATTGATCATCCTTGAGATGTTTCTACAACTTGATTGGCGTCCACCTGTGGTAAATTCTATTAATTGGACATGATATGAAAGGCACACACCTGTCTATGTAGGGTCCCACAGTTGACAGTGCATGTCAGAGCAAAAACCAAGCCATGAGGTCGAAGGAATTATCAGTAGAGTTCCGAGAGGATTGTAGCTCAGCTGGTAGAGCACAGCGCTTGTAATGATGAAATTTGGTTTGATCCCCGGGACCACCCATACACAAAAAAATGTATGCACGCATGACTGTAAGTCGCTTTGGATAAAAGCGTCTGCTAAATGGCATATTATTATTATTATTATAGATCTGGGGAAGGGTACCAAAAAATGTTTGCAGCATTGAAGGTCCCCAAGAACACAGTGGCCTCCTTCATTCATAAATGGAAGAAGTTTGGAACCACCAAGACTCTTCCTAGAGCTGGCAGCCCGGCCAAACTGAGCAATTGGGGGAGAAGGGCCTTGGTCAGGGAGGTGACCAAGAACCCAATGGTTACTCTGACAGAGCTCCAGAGTTCCTCTGTGGAGATGGGAGAACCTTCCAGAAGGACAACCATCTCTGCAGCACTCCACCAATCAGGCCTTTATGGTAGAGTGGCCAGACGGAAGCCACTCCTCAGTAAAAGGTACATGACAGCCGGCTTGGAGTTTGCCAAAAGGCACCTAAAGGACTCTCAGACCATGAGAAACAACATTCTTTGGTCTGATGAAATCAAGATTGAACTCTTTGGCCTGAATGCCAAGCGTCACGTCTGGAGGAAACCTGGCACCATCCCTACGTTGAAGCATAGGGGTGGCAGCATCATAATGTGGGGATGTTTTTCAGTGGCAGGGACTGGGAGACTAGTCAGGATCGAGGGAAAGATGAACGAAGCAAAGTACAGAGATATCCTTGATGAAAACCTGCTCCAGAGCGCTCAGGACCTCAGACTAGGGCGAAGGTTCACCTACCAACAGGACAACAACCCTAAGCACACAGCCAAGACAACGCAGGAGTGGCTTCGGGACAAGTCTCTGAATGTCCTTGAGTGGCCCAGCCAGAGCCCGGACTTGAACCCGATCAAACATCTCTGGAGAGACCTGAAAATAGCTGTGCAGCGACACTCCCCATTCAACCTGACAGAGCTTGAGAGGCTCTGCAGAGAAGAATGTGAGAAACTCCCCAAATACAGGTGTGCCAAGCTTGTAGCGTCATACCCAAGAAGACTCAAAGCTGTAATCGCTGCCAAAGGTGCTTCAACTAAGTACTGAGTAAAGGGTCTGAATACTTATGTAAATGTAATATTTCAGTTTTATTTTTTATATATACATTTGCAAACATTTCTAAAAAACCTGTGTTTGCTTTGTCATTATGGGGTATTGTGTGTAGATTGATGAGTGAAAAAAACAATTTACTCAATTTTAGAATAAGGCTGTAACGTAACAAAATGTAGAAAAGGTTCAAGGGGTCTGAATACTTTCCGAATGCACTGTAGGTGCAGTGGCGATTTTAGCATGTAAATCTTGGTGGGGCAAAAAAACAAATCAATAAATTATGCATGCCAGCAAAGCCACTAAACTAAACAATACATTAATTTCACTATAACGGTGACAAATAAAGCTGTCCCAACAGCAGAGCTTTCCTTTCAGCGCCATGGAGTGAATCCTTACCACTGCTACACCTGGCTATCAGCGGAGCCTGGTCTGGCAGCGAAACAGTTCATTCAGCCTTATTTACTGCCTTTTTAAAAAACATAGTTGATATGGCTGACTTGCTTAAACAAATGTGGTTTCTACTGACAATTGAGATGTACAAACTATGGCATAAGGGGATGACGAGCGGATAAGAGGGAATCCGTCATTTCGATTAGGACGGACGTAGTCAATATAATTATTTGTTCAGCACTTTTGAAATGTACAGCGACAGAATTCAGAGTTGGATGACCGTTCAAAACTTATTTTCCAGAGCTCGTTTTTTTCAGAGTTCCCTGTTGTCTTGAACTCACTGAAGTCTGAGATTTCCCAGTTCCGAGTTTCCAGTTGTTTTGAATGCGGCAGAAGTCATGTGAATGTCATGTGAATGTTTATCCTTTTAAGCTTGGAAAAGAGACCAGTAAACCCAGACTTGGACCACACACCCACTCCACTGAATAGCAGGCTAGTGATTGCTTTGCAACTCTTGCACTTAGCCACTGATTCCTTCTAAACCACTCATTGTTGAATTTCGATTTCCAACTTGTTGTGTAATGTTTATGTCCAATGGCCGATGAGCACCGATATGACAAGGATTGAAAAGGATTTGCCAGTAGATTGTCGACCTGATTCATGATGATGACTGCTTGTCCAGCTTGCTAGCTAAGATTTTGAAAGTATGATGTTGACGTGATCAGTCCAATCAAAGCTACGGTAGATAATATTATTATTATTATTATTATTATTATATAACATGATTTGATGTCATTTTATCTGTGGTCAATGACCTTGAGCCTTCTTGGATGGGCACTTCTAATGTAAATCTATGGCAGCACCCAAGGGGCTTGAATTTTCAAGCTCTCCCTGTAGATTTGGGACACATGGTGTCCCAATGAGTGACAGAACACTGAGCCAATCACGGCACAACTAGTGAACATTACCAACCCCTACGCTCCGTATTTTCCGCTGGCTGCCCCACCACCACAGAAAGCACTGAGCTAGGCTGAAACACCTGCATTTTGGAGCTGCTTTACTCAAGAAAGCAAAAAAGAGACCATGTTTGTATGCGGCTTTATTAACTCAATGATTTTTTTTTTTTTTTAAGCTACACAGGTGGGGCTCAAAACAGGTTGGTAAACATTGATGGGTGACCACTGGGTAGGTGCACTGTAGAAACTCATTCAACCAATTGAATAGTGGTTAGTCAAACATTTACAACTGCCTGTAGAACTCAAATCATAAAAGTGATACTCATTCAGATGTCAATCGGATGTTCTTATAACTTAATGTTTCTGAGTATTATTAACAAATATTAGGTTATTGAGTAAATATAACTTTATTTATCTGCTCTGCTAATAAACAATTATTGAATTTTTACAATTTATGGTTATTTAAAGTAAATCTAACATTTATTAAATACGTTGTTCTTACTTGAGTCTATTTTGTTATACATCTTTACTTAAAATAATAAAGTAGTAGTTAGACACATTGATATTTGAGTGAAAAACACTTGATTGATCTGCGTTGTGCTCATAGCCACCCCGGGAAGTAGGGGTGCTCATTTAGTCATTTCCGAGTTTTGTTTTATTCCTCCGAAATTTTAAGACTTTGTCAAGCAACTAGTTACCGACCCACAATTGGTATTTAGGCCTACTGTGATTTCTGTGATAATATGGAGGAATTAAAAATGATCTCTCCTTTGTAAAGGCCTATTAGTGGTACATAGCTAAGCTGAAAATGTGGACTCAATGGTAAACTTTGTGATAAAAGCACAACATTTGACATAGAGGTAGATGTATGTACTCTGAAAAATATAGAGATATGCAGCCACCCCAGATTTGGAGGCTGGGGGGCGTGGCAGCCACTATAACTGAAAAATAACAAAAAAATGTGAATGCATATTTGGCTTCCAGTCAATGTCTCTGTACCAAGTCGAGATTCTCATCTTTCAGATGCAATTGGAAGTGAGTTGGAAGTGAGTTGATATCCCATAGCGTTCTTTTATGGTATGATACAGTGCCTTCAGAAAGCATTCATACCCCTGGACTTATTCCATACTGTGTTGTGTTACAGCCTGAATTCAAAATTGATTAAATAAATAAAAATCACCCATCTACACACAATACCCCATAATGACAAAGTGAAAACATGTTTTTAGAAATCTTTGCAAATTTATTGGAAATGAAATACAAATATCTAATTTACATAAGTATTCACACCCCTGAGTCAATACTTTGTAGAAGCATCTTTGGCAGTGATTACAGCTGTGAGTCTTTCTGGGTAAGTCTCTAAGACCTTTCCACACATGGATTGTGCAACATTTGCTCATTATTTTCAAAATTCGTCAAGCTCTGTCAAATTGGTTGTTGATCATTGCTAGCCAACCATTTTCAGGTCTTGCCATAGATTTTCAAATAGATTTAAGTCAAAACTGTAACTCGGCCACTCAGGAACATTTACTGTCTTCTTGGTAAGCAACTCCAGTGTATATTTGGCCTTGTGTTTTAGGTTATTGTCCTGCTGAAAGGTGAATTCATCTCCCAGTGTCTGGTGGAAAGCAGACTGAACCAGGTTTTCCTCTAGGATTTTGCCTGTGCTTAGCTCCATTCTGTTAATTTTTTATCCTGAAAAACTCCCCAGTCCTTAATGATTACAAGCATACCCATAACATGATGCAGCCACCACTATAATTGGAAATATGGACAGTGGTACTCAGTAATATGTTGTATTGGATTTGCCCCAAACATAACACGTTATATTCAGGACAAAAAGTTAATTGCTTTGCCAAATTTTTGGAGTTTTACTTTAGTGCCTTGTTACAAACAGGAAGCATGTTTTTGATTATTTGTATTCTGTACAAGCTTCCTTCTTTTCACTCTGTCAATTAGGTTGCTATTGTGGAGTAATTACAATGTTGTTGATCCATCTTCAGTTTTCTCCTATCACAGCCATTAAACTCTGTAACAGTTTTAAAGTCACCATTGGCCTCATGGTGAAATCCCTGACCGGTTTCCGTCCTCTCCGGCAACTGAGTTAGGAAGGACACCTGTATCTTTGTAGTGACTGGGTGTATTGATACACCATCCAAAGCATAATTAATAACTTCACCATGCTCAAAGGGATATTCAATGTCTGCTTTTTTATTTTTACCCATCTCCCAATAGGTGCCCTTCTTTGCGAGACATTGGAAAACCTCGCTGGTCTTTGTGTTTGAATCTGTGTTTGAAATTGACTGCTCAACTGAGGGACCTTACAGATAATTGTATGTGTGGGGTACAGAGATGAGGTAGTCATTAAAAAATAATGTTAAACACTATTATTGCACACAGAGTGTGTCCATTCAACTTATTATGTGACTTGTTAAGCAAATGTTTTCTCCTGAACTTATTTAGACTTGCCATAACAAAGGGGTTGAATACATAATGACTCAAGACATTTCAGCTTTTCATTTTTAATTAATTTGTAAAAATTTAGAAAAACATAATTCCACTTTGACATTATAGGGTATTGTGTGTGGGCCAAACTCAATTTAATCAATTTTAATGTCAATACAACAAAATATGGAAAAAGTAAAGGGGTGTGAATATTATCTGAAGGCACAGTAAAAGTCTGATGGCACCGGCGCACATATCGCCCATATCGTTGCCATTTTAGGTAATGTCAAATTAGCTAAATCGCCAATTTATCAGCCACGGAGCACCACAGAAACACAGCACTTTTAATGAATAACAGACAAATGTTCATAATAAGTGGCTAAGGATGAAATTTATCAAAATATCTATTAAAAACATGAAAAACATACAAAATATTGACTATAAATGTGTGAAATTTTTAAAATATATACTTATTTTGGGGAATTTAAACCATGTACTTGTGTTACAAAAGGTTAATAAAATTAAAACTGTTACTGCTTGACAGAGGGTGTCTCTTTGCAATCATTATCAATTTGGTGTAAAATAATTACCCCAATTGGCACTTTTAAGCTAAGAATATGTTAGTGCTTTTCAGATTAATCCTATTGTTACTTAATTTGTTCGGGGGTGGATTCTCTTCAGACAGACAACTCTCCCAACAAATCACGAGGCAGACATGATAGAACATCGCGATTAGAAACCAAAGTTTGCAAGCAAAACCTTTGCAGTGGTTTTAGTGAAGGTAGTTGAAGCAAACTAGCCACTGGCGAAAAATAAATAAATAAATAAATAAAAAATCACCTCTGTGATTTCCATCTTGCTAGCTACTATTTTGTATTTTATTCAAGCGAATAAGGTAGTGGCGTAGGCAGTGACGTAGTTCCTCTATGCCAAACTGACATTCTGTTACATACGGACGTGTTAAGCCGGAAAATTTGAAAATTGTGGGAGGCAACCTGGATGTCTAGAGAGACTACTCTCTATCTGTCTCTCTCTTTCTCTCTGTCTCTCCGTCCCTCACGCTCTCTCGAAAACACACACATAGTGTCAGGATATTGAGAATTTGAATTTTGTGTTCAATAAATTACATATTATAGGATGTTACGTGTATCCAGGTTTGATTGGTAGTGGTGATATGACGTGTGATTGGTTGAGACAGTAATGGAGAACTGTGTGATTGGTTGAGACAGTAATGAGGTGGTGTGTTATTGGTTGTTTGTGTTCTGGTGACAGTAGAGTTGATAAATCAGCTCCAAAAGGAACAGAGACCCCAAGAGGATGCAGACGATGCGGGGGAGTGGCAAGGAGTGAAGGGTGTAAACACAGTGACAGTCCTGAACTGTGGCAGAGCAAAGCGTTATTTCACAATATAAACTTAACAGATCTCCCAGCTAACTGCTCACACATGCACACATGCACACACAATACAAGCATATAAACACAACACACAGTTTATATTTGTCTGTGAGTGAATATCCTAAACCCTGCAAGTTAGAAGACATACTTAGCACAGGGATGGCTGTGTGTGTGTCTGTCTTTGTGTTTGTGTTAAGTGGAGGGGGTGTTCTTGGTTTGTTTGTTTGGATGTTCCTGTTGCCTGTGGTCACAATAAGTACCAAATGCCTTTAACCCTCTATACACAGTGAGCTCTGTCCAACGGAATGCAAGAATCTCTCTCTCTGTCTCTTTTCCATCTCTCTCAACACTCCCCCTCTCTCTTTCCACCCTTATGTCTTTCTCCCTCTCTCACAGTGTTTCTCATGTAGTCCAATTTAAAAAATGGTACAGCCAATATGTCTGCCTAAAGTAGATGAGTTAAGGAGACAAGGAGAAGAGAATAGGAGACGAGGAGAGAAGACGAGGAGTGGAGGCAGTAAAGACCATTTAGACACATCCATTGACTGTCTTTCTACTCCCTCTCTATCCAGAAAGTCAGCGGGAGAAATCCCACTTGTCACTTCCTCTGGGAGCTGCAGAGGGCGGAGCTAGAATGTCACTATGAGTTGAAGAAACAATCCATGGAGCCTGCAGGTAGACACACTCTCTCACACTCTCACACACACACACACACACATTCACACATACACATACAGGTTTGACATGCATGAGTGGTTGTGTGGGTGTTCATTTTCTTATTAGCTGTTTATGTGTGTTTACACCAAGCTTAGCTGTAGTGATAGTGGACAGAATTGTATCTGTTGGTACACAGGGTCCCCTAACGCCTGTGACCTGTGTCTGCTTTCCCACGGGGTGTGTGTGTGTGTTTGGTGTGCGTGTGTGTGTGTAGGCTGTGGTGGTCTATGGGACAACATTTCGTGTTGGGCCCCAGCAGCAGTAGGGGAGATGGTGACTCTCTCCTGCCCCCCTGCTCTCACACACCTCTTCGGACGACAAGGTAAACACAAATCCATTCCTCCATCCCTCTATACCTCCATCAGTCCATCAACCATACTGTACATCCTGTCAGGATGCCAATTAAATCTATTAGTGGCCTCTCGATGACCCCCCTCTGAGGTTAGGGGTCACCATAAAGCAGGATTTAGCACCCTGAGAGACCTTCTGCTGAGGCTTAGGCCGGTGTCTATAACTCAGCTAAAGGTCCGTCCAAATGATAGAATAATCTACAGTTCACTCTGACCCACTGACCTACTGTTGTTATGGTCTGGGCCTGGCGCTGAGGGAACGAACCGATAAGGAATGAACATATAACCAGAGGGTTGTTCTTCACTCTGCAGTAGATTGCTGCTAGACTATCCGGAGGATTGTGTCTGTCTCCTGGTGCACCTGTCTGTCTGTCTGTCTGTCTGTCTGTCTATTAAACCTTTTAAAATATAGAATTTGTTGGCCTTATCTTTGCATTTTCACACCTTGGGCAAATTCACGATTCCTGACAATCCCTCCTTCTATTCCTGTATGTTCTCTCTGTTAGGCAACATCAGTAGGAACTGTACCGAGGCTGGCTGGTCTGACGTCTACCCCAGCATCAGCACCGTCTGCTGGTCCAGCGACAACAAACCCAACAAGGTAGGTTTACCACGGCAACTCAACAGTTAGTGAACCAACATGGCAGAGAAACCTTAACTACTGAACCAGAATGGAGAAACAGACTCCATTCACTACTAAATCACTATACAGTCAGACACTGCACTGAGCTGGAACAGGTTATTCAAGCAGTTATGACTCAAATGGAAACCTCTCCTTTGTCTGCTTGATGATAGTGGGTTATAGGGTCAGGGAGCCCAGGGATATTACATTTTTATCCCTCCAAACATTTCACAATGTTTGTCATACCCTACCTCTAGTTGTCTTTTTTGTGTATGTGGGTTCATGAAAATCAGGGCT